TGCACGAGAGCTTGTGCCGCCGAAATGTGCCCTATAGAGCAAGGAGCTCGCGCTTGTAGGCTTTCCTGCGGTACGACACAAGGTGAAACAGTATAGTTCCGCGTGTTTTTCACTTCGAGCGGTGCGCGTGTCGGGACCACGATTTCCTAGTTCCGTGTGTTCGATCGTAATATGCTTTGAATCTTGTGTTCTGATTTTGCGGATGGTGAAGTATTCACACGAGGGAGAAATCCCGGGGATTTCTCCCCGGCACGCGCGCATCACGAGATGAAAACGCGAGGCTTTTGCACATCGCAAAGCCTGGCGTTTTCGTCGTGGGATGCGCGTGCCGGGTAGAAATCGCCGGGATTTCTCCCTCGTGTGAATACCCCTTAAGCGTGTTTCCCATGCAGCGGTTTTGGCCCTAGAGCGGCGCGATTTCTGCCGTCGCGACGTTCTGGCCAGCACCAGAGGTTGAGCGGCACGAGCGCCGCGACGGCCGAAATCGCGCCGCTCCAGGGCCAAAATCGCTGCATGTGAAACCCGCTTGAGGGTAGTGCCGAAATGCCGTCGGCGAAACAGCGACAGAACTCTTGCTCTGCACCATGGTTTCAAAACGGGCCTCGTCCGAGTGAAAGGAGTGAAAACGGCGTCCCTTTTCGGCGTTCCAAAGGACGGAGCCAAAAGAGATCTTTGTGAGGAGAATCTCCAGCGATCGGACAAGCGTCTTGAAGAAACAAGCGCTGTCTGCATGCGAGCTGCACTTCGAGCCCGCTTCATCCTTCCAGACTTCGTCCATATCATCGGCGGAAAGGAAGTGGGAATCCCTCGTGGACACCCAGCGCTTACGCCAGACGCGGTACCCACTCTGCTGCCAAGTGTACCCCAGGACCTGAGTGATGATATTTCCGCAGGACGAGAGGAAAGGAAGCGGAAGGCAAGTTCACCAGAGCCCATCGTTGCAAAGCGTTCGGGGCTCGTTTGGGAAACTGACCCGTTGTCACCAGTCGTGAACAGCGAAGCTCCTGCCGTGATCCCACAAGGCATCGATCGCGACGCACTAGGCTCTCTAAATGTGCCAATTCCTTACTGGGCTGTTCACATTAAGTTTAGCAACTTCGACGGTGTTGCTTATTTGGAGACTGCTCTTGAGCCGAAGTCAAACAAGAGCAGCATCGAAAGGGCGGTGTTCATTTGTTTCGACAACTTACCTGATGTGGTATGCCAAGTATACCTTCAGGGCCATGTATGCGCTGCACATTGTAACCATGTATGCAACCCACATTGTAATCATGTATTTCAATGCCGTGCTGTAAGCTATTACAGCTTTTTCCTTGCCTGATCTACGTGTGTTCGTGTTTTCTGCTCAAAATGATGTGAAATAGTTGCTTGTTTTCTTTGATTCTTATAAAGCATTACTTGTTCAGCCCACGTCGTCTCAGTTTTTGGACTTAAGTTCGATGTTACAACGCGTGATAAAAATTGTCACGACTTATAAGCCATTTCTTACAAGTGAACGTCGGGTGGTCCTCGGATGGTCGCGGCAGCCATGAAGAAATAAAATATTCTCACCCTTTGCGATCGTCGCTTGGGCGGTTCGTCCCATAAATGAACACAAGAATGAGTGACAAGTGAAGCGAGATGATTAAGGTCAAGAAAAGGAGACGGGCTGGAAAGAAGACGGAGAAGTTATCCTGGGGTATTAAAAACATACTAAAACAATCTCGGACTTTAGTATGTGCCGTTCGTTTCATTATAAAATAAGATAGGGGGAAAAACTGCTTTTGAGTTTTAGATATCCCTTTCAAATATCAAATGTTCGGCCTTTGCGACTCAAGGAAATAGGCATTTCATTTAAAATGCTCACCATTCGACAAGCAGAAAGTCGCAGCTAATTCTAAAGCGCGAAACACATGTACGACGAAACCTTCCGATCCGACGTGCGGACTGCCGGATGACCTTGGGGGGAGAGGGTTTTCGTAGCATCGGAGAGCGTTGAGAACCCTCGCCTCCGACCGTAGTATTGCGCGGTCGGACGTCGGATCGGACGGTTTCGTCGTACATCTGTTTCGCGCTTAAGCTGAAACAACTCGCAGTCCGCTTCTTTAAAGTCGCAATTGTTTTTATGTAAAGGAAGGGTAATCTAGCTTGTACCGTCCAATACATTGGAACATCATTTTGCTAACGATCGTGATGCAGAGTAATTGATGCCGCGGTACGACAGCTGGCAGGATGTAGCTGTATCAGAAATCCTATGTGCACTCCACCAAAGCGGCACCGGATTCATATTTTCGCGCGTGCAGCCGCGCATGCGCACACCTTCTAGATAACGCGCCGGTGTCGACACCTGTCGCGATCAATACCACGCGCTTCAGGCAAGCCCCTCCGGTCCCAACACTACCCAAGTTGATACCAGTACAGTGGCCACTGTAATACTATAAAAAAAAAATATAAATATATATATATATATATATATATATATATCAGTGTGTCGAACCGAAAAAAATCCGGGTTCGGTTACGGTTCAGGTTCAAGTAAATTAATCTTGTTCCGGTTCAGTTCCGGTTTGATTAATTCGATCCGCGAACCGGTTCGCGAACCGGTTCGGGGCGCTGAACCGGTTCGCGAACCGGTTCGGAAATTATAAATGACAAATTGCAACATCAAAATAAACTACAAATAAAACATCTGAAATCAGCACATACGAAACGGGATACATTGTACTGTAAGGCTCAGGGATTTCTACCAGGAATGGTTTCTTTATCTGCACTCAAAGGTTACCTCACCGACGTTTACGCATTCGGACTTCATCTAATTGGGTCCGACGCAGTAGCTGTAAAATCCGCGACCTCCTTACAAACCCACTTACAAGTAGAACTCGCTAACTATCTCGCCACCTCGGCGTGTAAGCAATTGAACGAACAGAGGGGAGAAAATACAGCTTTCTTTATTTGAACTAGCCTTCGGTAACTCAAATTAGACCCTTAAAGAAGTTTTCATTAAACAAGAGACGGAATATGAAAAACACTTCACCGAACGCAACGCCAGAAGGACGTGATAGGATAAATATTAAAATAGAAGAGTTCGCTGTCTCACAAATAGCTTATAAGTGCCTATACGAAACCGGATGCATTATTATCAAACTTCACAGCCTTTTCTTTTCTCATTCCGATGGAAGCAAGCTTCAAGAACTCGCTCGTTCTAGAAACGTGTTATGAAATGAGCACACAGCAGCATTTAGGATTTACGAGATTGTAGAAAAATAAAATCCCGTGACGCGATTTTTTTTTTTTTTTTTGCACAGCTTTTTAATTTTTTTTCTTCCGTGCAAGCCGCGACCAGCGCAATACTGGTTCCTAAAACAAGATTCATGGATGCAGCGTTTGTCAAGATTCATGAATGCAGCGTTTATATTCCTAAGACTGAGTGGAGAAGAAAAATATGTAAGCGAGGTGTGTGTCAGTTGACGGCACTTAAAAAACAAATGGCATTGATAGCACATTGATTGTCAACAGCGCGTGGCCGAACCGTTTTGACATAAGCCGGTAACCGTTATATTTTTTCCGGTTCAGTTCCGGTTCGGGTTCATCGCGATAACAATATAACGGTTCGGGTTCGGGTTCAGTTCCGGAAAAAATACCGGACCGGTTCCGGTTTTCGGTTCGGTTCGGTTCCGGTTCGACACCCTGATATATATATATATATATATATATATATATATATATTATAGTACACTGTACTGCTACGTCACGACTACGTAGCAAGTTCCCCAACGTTGCTGGATTACCTCCCAAATAGGCTCCGCATGCATCCACCAGGTGCACTTTGAAAGATCGTTTATTTAGCTTTAAAATTAGTTTTCTTGTGCCTTTCAATGGAAGACTGGTGTTTTTGAGGTTAGAATGCAACATGCAACACATTCAAGCTAGAATATGAGCGCTGGAATTTCGTTTCCCTACCCCTTTAAAGGGATACTACAATGAAAATTCGGCGCTTATTTTATGGCCTATATGTGTTCAAAGGAGCAGTATCACATCAAACACACCAATATCTTGTTACAAAAAGTCACGAAAAGGCATTTTAAAACGAATTAAACGATTAGCAAAGAGCACCTGGTGGATGTCGCTAACGCCTCGCTTGTAATGCCCGTCTAGGAACCTTGACAGCTAGTGACGGTGAGTGTCTCGCCTCCGGCCACGACGAGAGAAGAGGGGAAGGAAAAAACTCGCGTCTTCCCGAGAATCCCTTTTGAGTGTTCCAGAAGTAGCCATTGTCTCCCCACAAGATTATAGAAGATTAACCCGTCACTCAAAATTCGTACAAAAGCAGCCGCTTCGGTGGCTGGAACGACTAGGCCATCCCCTCGACGGTAGCTTCGCCGTAGCTTTGCTCGTCCCGAGACGACCTACGTCACGATTGCGTCGGATGTCACGTGCTCTAAGCTGGGCCTTCTCCGAGCGCTTGCCAGAGTGGGCCGTTTATAACGAAAATACAGCCACCAGGCTCAAAATACAAACGTGCGATTGTCATTTACGGATATTGTGGATCATATTCAACCTATTTTTGAACACAACCGATATATTTCAAATTTCGTTGAAGTATCGCTTGGACGCAAGCTTTTTGACGGGCTTATTGAAAAGCATCCAAAAAGTTTCAGTACCGACAACAGCTTAGAAACGTCCTTGCAATATTCGTCGCCCTACTCCGTTTGTTGTTCGTTTTGTAGTAAAATAAAAAGAAAAGAAAAGAGAAGGATGTGAAACCAGATTTTCGCCAACTTTATTTCCGTCCTACAAGGTTAAAAATATCCAAAAGTCTGCATGTTATCACTAAAAATCGCTACTGTTGGCAGCGCTTAAGACTAGCAAGACTTTGTGTTTGTCCGTCCCTTTTTGTCCCAGTCTCGGGGTTTTTGTCGAAATGTTTAACCACCACCAGCTCGTTTGCGCCCTTACCTTTTGTTCATCAAATGACCGTTTCTGAGGTGGAGCTGGGTGGAGTACATGAGATTGTCTCACCGGATGCTGCTTCCGCGCTTCGAAGCATGGCGACCGCGGCTGGTTCAAAAATATTTCAGAATATCCCTGTACCTACCTTATTCATACTTATTTCCTGCTTGGTTTCCTTCGGAAAAGCAAGTAAGCCTGCTGAGATGAGTTCGCGTGCTGCGTTTATTCACTCGAACCAGACATTTGGCGTAGGATGCAGTCGGCAGTCGCATTCGACCCGCTTTAAAATTCCTGCATTTTCAGATTTCAGACAATTTGCGGACGAGCCTTCTGCAACTAGTTAAACCAGACCTAAACCACAAAAGGCTCGTGTTGGTGAAGGAAAACATAAAGGTGAGGAACTTACATTTCGAGGCTTCGGCTTCATTCATTCCGTGTTCGACCGCCGATGATGACAAATCTCTGCACAAATTTGAAGAGTCTCTGCCGAGAGTGTCTTCCACGAAGGAAGATCACCGCATTGAGGCTCTTTGTGAAGAGTTGAAAACGTCTGAGTGTGGTAAGCTAACAAAGAAAAAGAAGAAAAAAGTCACGATGTGGCGCGTTTTATTGCTCTATGGCGGGTCTTCCACAATCCGATTCATGCTTCGTGTGGGGTCTTCCTCGCAGGTCGTGTCTAAAATTGAGGGGCCCGTGGCGACCATAGCCGTCGTCGGGAAGTTCCACTCCGGCAAGTCTTTCCTCAAGAACCAACTGATGGGGAAGACCAAGGGATTCGGAATAGGCCCCACGGTCCGACCTGAAACGATGGGCATCTGGATGTGGGGACAGGTACTCATGATGAGTAAAGCTATACGCACTCCGGAGTGCACTTCGGACGGAAATGGCTATACGCACTCCGCGGAGAGCTCATGCCGCTTGGGCCACCCTTTCCGAACGACGCGTGTATTACTGGGGAGCTCATTAACACAGCCCCCCGCCTGCGTTCACGCCGCTTCGCGGCTACAGTATGCGGCTGCTAATTACAAAACTTAACCAGTACACGCCGCTTCGCGGCGTCCAACCGGAAACCCAAGCCCCGCTGTTCCCGATCGCACCTACCAAAAGGGAGTCCCATACCATTTAGTTCTGTGAAGTTTCGTCGACAATAATGAAACATGAGGAATTACTGTTACGAACACGCTCGTTTCGTACTTAATCCGTCGACAACATTTGGTTTTTTTTTAGTGTTAATTGCAAAAAAGAAATGTCGTAAATATTGCCAAATGTCTCGACAAAACAAAATGTTTGAGAAAAAAAAAACAAAAAAAAACAAAGCAGGTCCACCGGGGGATCGAACCTGCATCCACTTGCGTATAAAGCGGAAACTTTAATTCCTATGCTATGCCATCTCTTATTTTTTTTTTTTTTTTGGCAAACGAAACAAGTTTATTTAATGTTATTTTCAGATATCCTTGCAGTAGGTTCCGCAAACATTATACAAGGCCAAATTGAAAAATTCCGGAGACGAAAGCTACTTCCTCCGACCATGCGGCAAAGCTTCACGGTACTTTTCCCGAAGAAATCTAAAAAAGGCCCTATTTCCGAGGTCGGGGACTTTCGGCCCATGAGTCTTCTTTGCTCTGATATAAAATCCTGGCCAAGATCCTCGCAAGGCGACTTGACACAGGGCTCAAGTCCATCATAGGGCCCCATCAGACCTAGAGCCTTTGCGGGAGGAAAATGTCCAGGAACCTCCACATCATGCGATCGGCGAGGCGACGGCGGAGGGTCACCAGTCCCTGGCGGTCCTGCAGCTGGACCTGCAGCAGGCCCTCGACCGGGTGTCCCACAGGTTCCTCCTGGCGGCGCTGGATCGATTCGGCGTGGGGGAGGAGCTGCGGGGGTGGATCGCGCTCTGCTACCGAGACATTTCCACTCGCCTTCTCATCAACGGTCAGAGGGGAGGTCCCATCTCCGCCGGCAGGTCGGTTCGGCAGGGCTGCCCCCTCTCGGCCATCCTCTTCGCGCTGCAGTTGGAGCCACTCTGCCGGGCAGTCAATGCGGACCCATCCATCTCAGGTTTACGGCTTGGGGACAAAGACGTCCACATGCTGGCCTTCGCAGACGACGACTTGTTTATCTGCTCGTCCAAGGTGCAGGTGCAGACCATCCTGCAACACGTGGACCGGTTCTGCGCTGCCTCAGGGGCCATGATCAACAAGTCGGCGGGGGCGTGGCTCGGTGTATGGGAGACTACGCCGAGAACTTTCGGAGGTATAGGATGGAGCACTTCGCTCGACGGCTACCTGGGTGTGCCGGTGGACCCGCAGCGATCAACGGCCGCAGTGTGGAGACCGACCGCCAACTCCGTTGCCGCCAAGCTGTCGCCCTGGCGGTGCAGAAACATGTCTTTCTTCAGCCGAGCTCACGTGTGTAACACAGTCAGCTACCCCGCCGTGCTGTACAAGCCTCAGGCCGTCTGCTGCCCGGGCAGCCAGGCCGGAAAGGTACACCGGAGCTGGGCCATGTTCGTGTGGAAGACCGCCATGGAAAGCACACGAAGGAACAACCTCTTTCTGCACCAAGAGAGCGGCGGTCTGGGCCTCGTTAACATTGTGCTCAAGTTGCACGTGCAGTGTTTTCTGCTCTTCCAGGATGCGAGGGACCCGACCTTCGTCGCCGTGCTGCACCACCTTGGATTCCCACATCTCGGGAATTAGATGGTGAGCACGAGTGGCCGTACGACCAAGAAAGCCGCCCTGCGGTTCTACAAGGAAATTGCCAGCTCCATCGAGTTTCTGCAGGCCCAATTTTCCTGGGAGTACCTGGCGACCGTCAGAAAGAGGTGGCTGTACTGGGATGCCGTTTCCGCATCCTTCTTGCCACCGCTCTACAGACAACCATTGACGCCCGACGACGCGGCGCAACTTTCCAAACTCGTGCGAATCCTCCCGTCCCTGTGGCGACAAGGGACTTCTTCGTTCGGATGCGCATGGAGGTCCTTCCAGTTAAAACCTGGCTCCATTACAAGGGGTTCTTCATGCCATGGTCCTTAAACTGCAACCTTTGCGGGGCGCCCGAGACCATCCAGCACGTCCTAGTCGAGTGTAGTAACGCCTACCTCTCCTGGGACGAGATGAGGACGACGTTTAAGCTCCGGGACTCCTTCGAAGTAGAGTGGAGCGCTTCCAAGTATCTGCAACTCTAGGAGAGGGATAAGATAAGACGGAGGTGGTGCACGTGATGATGTTGCTAGGCCTGCACGCCATCTGGCAGTCGCGTACCTCAATGGTGCAATGCCACCTCGACGCGCGTCCAACCTGGAGCTACTTCGTGTCCACGTTGGGGTGGGTGCTCTCGGTGACGTCGCGGCAGGTGAATGCGGGTGATTGGGAGTGCATCGAGCGAGAACTCGAGGAAGGGCGTCGCCGATGCGTGCAACGACGTACGTCAAGCGTGGGAAACTGGCGAGTTCCTGTGAACTGTAGGCGCGTTGGCGTTGGCTGAGGTGCGTGGTGCGCAAAAGTGGACCGTGGCTATTCCCCCTTGGAATTGCACGTCTATATTGTTCGATTTATTTATATATTTTTTTCGTACAGATTGTATAACTGTTGACGCGGTCTCATACTGTATCGTTTGTTTCCTCTGAATAGTTTTCTATGCTATGCCATCGCTCAGAAAACTCGTTGTGACCATTTGTTTTATACGAGTTTAGCGGAGTGCATATAGCCATTTCCGTCCGAAGTGCACTGCGGAGTGCGTATAGCTTTGCTCAATAGAGTGTGATAATATTTGTGCTTAGTACAATGTGATTCTGGGTGGTGTGCAAGGCTGTGCAGAAAGGTTAAAACCCGTACGCGAGCGCGTCTGCCACCCCGCCACTCAAGAGGTAGGGTCCACAAACGTTTGTCTTTCGTGGTTCGCTTGCTTCCTGGTGTTTTTTTTTACATACCTTTTTTACGCTGCCTTGCTCTTTGTGTTTTTGTCAACAACAATAAAAAATTTTCTCAGCGGTATACTCGACACGTCTTGTAGCAATACAGGTTGTAATCACATTTTTACTGGCAGCAATGTACCCCTCGGGTTCAACTAAACGAAAGCTGAACGGTTTTTTTAATCGCAGTGTCTAGAGTTACGTCCGAGAGAACCCAACGTCGCTGTACATACATTTTTTTTAATTACATCCGACATAACCCTAAAAAAACAAAATTAAAGTTATATCCGATATAATGTAAAATAAAAATTAAAGCTATGTCCGAAATAACTCTACTTAAATATTTTATGTTATGCCTGGCGCAATTCAGTTTAGTACTTAAAATCATGTTCTGACTGTCCTGAAATTTTGAAAAAAATTCGTGAAATCTCTAACGTGAGGGTTCATGCCTTCACCACTCTTCAGTGGCAACTTGATTTAGCGTGTAGCCGTGACACAAACGCACTGGGAGTTCTCCGCTCTTTGAATGTGGTATTGGTATCGCATGCAGCAACCAGTTACCAAATCGTTACAGAAAGTTTGAGTATGTAACCTTCTAAGAACTGCAAAAAGAAAAAATATAATGTCACCTCTTTTGCGTGTTGAAACCTACTGAATGCAACGACTTTGTCCAGCCCCCTCTGCCATGACGTCAACTAAGGCCCCGGCTGAGGGGCGTGGAACTATGTGATTTTATGATTACAACATCGTAACTTCATTTCAGTTTTGTTTGAATAATCTGACAAAGCCGGACACAAGACCCAGTTTCCTAGTACGTGGGACGTAACCTTAAATTGTATTGTAGGTTACGTCAGACGTAACTTTAACTTTTGTTTTTGGGTTACGTCGGACGTAACGCTAGACACCACATTTTTTTTAATTTTAAAAAGCTGTAAGAGAGTAAAAATTACATCAGAGGTCACCGATTATGTGTCGAGACTTTTTACAGTTAACGGGGGGAGAGAGTTTCGTTGCAAGCCGTGTGGCAATCGGTGTAAGTGTTTTCTAATACAAACTTTTCAGGTTCAGTCGTGCCCAATTTTTGTGCAGGAACTGAATTCAGGAGCCAAACCATAGAAAGTCATTCCTGACTTCTTTGAGCTTCTCTTTAAGTTGCTATTTCTCTTTTCTTTCTTCCTTACTCATCAAACATTGTGTTGCTATATGATTGTGGCGAGTAGTATAATACGAAGCTTTAACTCTGAATTTTCTGAATAATGGAGAAATCTTTAGAATTATTGACCTAGAAAATTGCCAACCTTACCTATGAAGAAGAAATAGGAAGAATATAAAGAAACTGACTATGAAGGCCCAGCATGTGCCATAACGACCACATATCATGGCACAGGCTACACGTGCGATTTATGGTGACCAAAATATTTTTCTTCCTCCTTTTCTATTAAAATATCTAGTTGCGAGTCAGCGCTCTGTTCTATCCGGTCTGTCTCTTCCATTTATGTCCTTTTGCGCTGTGTATTTTTTTATTATGTACAACCTTACCTCATTTTCAGCCACTGAAGGTCAGGCTACCCTCAGGGCAGAATTTATCTCTAATCTTCTTGGACACTGAAGGCAAGTGGTTTTATATCTTGCATCTCATAGAGCCAAAGTTAAGCCTAATGAATTTTGTTGCAGGCTTTGCCGCAAACAATGTCTCTGAAAACTATGACGCCAAGATTTTTGCTGTTGCAACCCTTATCAGCTCGCACCTGATCTACAACTCAGTCAAGATAATCGACCAAGCTGACATTGACTACCTGGAGCTGTTGGCCAGACGCACACAGGCAGGATACCTCCTTTTTATGTGATTAGATTTCCTAAAACAAATCTACCATCAAAAAACATGCTCCACCCCCGAAAGAAAACCCACCCCTATGTTTGGCACAATTTGATATTGTTTTAAAAACACCGTAAGATAGTCAACTTTCAGTAATCCCAGGGCCCTGGCCAATTGTGACCTCGGCAGAAATAGTGTTACTTAGTCACGACGGGAGATAAGCGAGCATTGTTGACAGGGAAGGTCAGTCACTAGTTCCATAGGTCACAAAATCCAAAACTACAGTGAAGTTCTGAGAGAACGCCCGGCCCTGGGAGATCGCCCATCCTGTTTTTCTGGCTAAATATCTGTAAAAATAAGAATTCTCAAACATCGCCTACCCCTTGATTCTTGTTGGATGTCGCGCGATGTTTGACGAGAATCTCATCAACTGCGCAGTTTGCTGTACCGGCACGTCTAACAAGCGAGTTCATAGCAGGTTCCCACGTTTTTGTCTGCGATCTGCGCACGCGATATCTGCTCTCTTAACACGCGAGTTGTTCCCAGGTGTACGTTCCACCGTAAAATGCGAATCTGCTGCGTCTGCAATCTGGTATCCGTTCCCGTGACATAAAGTTTGTAGCGGATTCCCGCCTGTATATTGCATCGTGAAATACGATTTTGCTGCGTTCGCAATCTGTGTTACTTTTTCCCATAACATAAGGGTTTGTAGCGGATTCCTGCATTTTTGTCCGCGATCTGCGCGCACGGTATCGGTTCCCGTGACGGGCCAGTTCGTAGCGGGTTCCCGCGTGTTTATTCCACCATTAAACTTGAATCTGCTCCGTCCACGATTTGCGGTATTTGTTCCTCTGAGATGCGAGTTCTTGACTGGTTTCCGCGGGGCCTTCGCACCGTGAAGCTGGAATCCGCTGTGTCCACAACCTGTGGTATCCTTTCCCGTGACGCAGGATTTTGTAGCGAATTCCTGCGTGTTTATTGCATCGTGAAACGCGAATTTGCGGTATCGGTTCCCGGGTTGGGTAGTTGTAGCCCGTGCCGGGGTGTTTATAATTAATTTTCGATAAAGGTTTGCTGTGGCATCCCCAAAGATAGCCCACCCCATGTTTTTTAACCATTTATCTCTTCAATTTGTGTGGGTGTTCTTTCGAAAAATTACGGTAGCATTTTTTTTCTCATTTTTTTTTTTGAACATTGAAAGTTAGCTTACTCCTTATTTTAACATGATTTGCCTTCGATTTTAGGTGGGCTATCTCTTGGGATATTACTGTAGCCTCTAAATGAATGAAACTTCACAATAAATGTAGAGGATTATTTTCAGTTAAGCTAATGGTTACTTTACCATATAACCATATGTAGATGTCATTCTCTTTTTAAAAATTTTGCATTGGCAGTTAGAATGAGTCATTGTTGTGTTATGTGGACATGTCATTTGCTCTGTGTCAGTTGTTATACCTGGGAGGTGTCGGTTATTAGTGGTCCATCATTGGTTTTTCTCTGTTGCAGCTCTTTGCCTTGCGGTCGCAATTGTCTCGTGCCAAATGGAACGACGGTTTCGTCCATGATCTGCTCAGCTTTCCGCCACTGCTTTGGGTATGTTTGTGAAAACAATCTTCCTGTTTAATCTGTGCATTAGTCACGTTTAGTTCTTTGCACTGGAGGCGCTCGTATGTACTTGGTTTCATTCACAAGTGGATAAGCAGACAAAAACGAGCAGAACATATCCAACAAAGTGAACATCTTCTAAAATATTATTTTTTTGCTAAAAGTTATCAGCCTTCCAAAAGAAAAATAAAAGTGTTTTCTTGTCCTTTCCCCACCGTTCATAGGTATCTTCCATAGTCTCCTAATCGAGCCCCACTATTTCGTGTTAAACCCCCTATTTCACAAAGAAATTTATCATTTAATGTATTGGGCTGTACCTGCTGTAATGCTTCAGCACCGTGGGTTTTTGTAAATAATTAAGTAAAACTCGCGGGCACCCTTACTTGTGGGAACATGGCAAGCTTCTGCGGGAATGTTGACAGGAGATGAATCCAAGCTCGGTGGCATCTTCCATCTTGAGGAAATCAAAAGAACTTCACTTGGGACACTTTGATTGTACCATTGCGCATCGAGCTCCCAAGAGCACAACACTGGTACATTTCTAGAGCGTAGTTCTTATTCAGTTGCTCGCTAGTGATCCAAGAGTCATCGCGCACCCACCCAGAAACAAGCGAGAACAAGACAACCTGGAAGTATTTCTCACCTCCTGTCATGGCGGCCGGAGGTTGCCCGAATGCTTTGTTAAGAAAACACTTTCTACTTGAAGATAATGGCAAGAAGTGTAATGAAGGAGCAATGCACAAAGTAATAAAACCCAAAAGAAACCCCCCAAAATGCAATCACCAGAGGCCAGATTCACGAAGAGCTTCTTATTTTACAAGAACTTAGCTAAGAAGTTTCCTTTGTAAGTTAAGAACATCGTAAGAAGAGGAGAAATCGGTGCTCACAAACACGCTTTTAAGTCAGAGGAGAAAAGCGACGTTCTTGTATGGAAAAACTAGAACTTACCGGTGTTGTTGCTATAGCGATGGCGTCTTTGAAAGCACGAACAACCAATCGGAGAGCTCGGCATGGTTTGGAGCACTTGGATTTTTAACAACAAACACAGACGGCCTTTCCACCACTGATTGTCTGGGTTCCGTGTCCGTGCAGGGATATGTCGACGCTAGCACAATTTAAACGCGCCCGAATGCCAAGGCCGGGATGCATAACCGCTTCCGTTGACTCCTACGAACTCGATCGCTACGAAGTCAACACAACTGTCATCGTTGGTAAAAGACGGCCTGTGCCAGTCGTTTGCAAAGCGACGTAGATGGAAACAAATCGCCGCAACGTTTCTCGCAGCCTCGAAGATGCAGGAGCGATCCGACGTTAAAAATATATACGTTCGAACTACGAGAATGTCACCAAAAGCCACGTAAATACCTGTTTACACTCGAAGCGGACGTGCGCTTTTGATTGAGGTGCTGGATTCGCGGTGTTGGACCGCGAATCGGTAAGCGCTTCGGAACCGATCTTTTGCGATTGCAACTCTATAGTGCCGTGACACTCGGCCAAGAGAGGTTGGACCGACATTCAGTTGCTCTCACAAACTGTTATAGCTCGACAGTGACGTGCAGTTGTGTCAGAATAAAAACGGCATACTAATAACGAAGTGTACATACCGTGTTGCGAAGGTAATCCATACGGCGTTTATTTGAGCTCTATATCACATAAAACAAGGAGATAGAATCAATGAGAGTCCCTTTTCGACGACAGCGTTCGCCACCGCTGCCTCGGAAAACAAGATAACAAGGGGTCCGGGGAGGAGATTAACCTCTTAATCTAAAATTGAGGTCAGCGATCAAACTATAATACGTTAAGGGTCCACAAGGGTCGCACGGGCATATTCCATTCAGCACGCCAGCCGGTCGTGGGCATACGGTCTTGGCCAAGGACCGTCGGAGCAATGCTGTGCCGAGTCGGAGTGCCTGCTAGGCCTATACTGCCGAGCTCGCTTGGTCGGGGTCTATGGAATCGTGGCTGTTGGAGCTTTTTGTGGGTGTTTGGGGGTCCAGCATTCTTGTTCGTCGTTTCGTCGTGGTCTGTTTCAAGTACTCTTTACTTTTTTCTTGCTGCTTGAAGTCGGGACGCGCGAGAAGAGCACGTAGAAAAGTAAACATTTATTGGTCGTCGCGACCAAGTGACTGAGCGACGCTGTCGGCCATGCAGATTTGATCGTAAAAAGTGCGTAAGACAGCTCCGGAGCTGTCGTAGGATACCGCCGTAACCTGCGCAAAACTTACGATAATTTTTTTTCGTGAATACGAATTTGTTCTTACGTTTTGTCTTACGCACATTTTTGGCGTAAGATCGTTTCGTGAATCTGGCCTCAGTTCTAGAAATTTGCTAGAGACCCGGGGAGACAAGAAACCCAGGTCTACTTGTAGTAGGCGAAGGGAACTGGTCGTCACCCTGTTAATTGCGTGGGTTTGCATCTGTTTTCTTTAGCATCGGGTTCTACTGTTAAACTCTCCGCAAGGAAAGTGACATGTACAGGCATTTTGCTAACTCTTTGCATTCATTTCTCAAGTTGTGCCCAACAACTCATTAGGGGCTATGTGAAGCATGAAAAGCAATCTCATAGCTCGGTTTGTAATAAGCAATGTCCAAAGTGAGGCACTTGTGAGTCAAAAATGAATGCCTCGTGCCTTTTGCAACGATGCACAAAGGAATCAAGGGCACGTGTGCAACTAAGACACCTTCCTTATTTCGCTGCTTGAGATCGGGGTGCTGTTCAGAGCTCTCGCAAATTGTTAAAGGCGGTGGTGTTAAGTTATAGGCTGTTCCCTTTCCCGTCTGGAAGTGCAGGTGGTGCAGGACTTTGTGCAGACAACTCTTGACAATGAGACACCTACCCAGTGGTTGCACCGGCTCATGGAAACTCTCAGCAGAGAGAGCGAAGACTACAAGATCAGCCTTCTTGGTGAGAGAAGGACGCATACTTTTTATGTGCAGATGCCTTCTTCATCGTCTTCATAAACTTCTTATGCCATCTCCATAAAGTTCTCATGCTTGCCCTTGTAGGTTGGCCATTTTCTTAATCTTGATTTCCCTGCAGGCTATTAATGTGAAAGCTTTAACTGTTTCATGGAGCGAGCTGACGTCATCAGTTGGAAGCGCGGAAACGGCAGATAGTTTCCGCATGCCTTCGGTTCCATTAGCTGGCGCGCGTCGACGGGACTCCCGTTGGCCGCTGCGTCATGGCCTCCGAGATACCGAAGCGCGCGTGTGCTAGTACACAGCAAAAGACAAAGGGAGCGGACGAGTGGCTTGCATGCTTTCGCATTCAGAACTCGTAAGAAATGCTTAGGTGTACCTCGAGCTTTTTTTTTATGCTGTTGCAGGGGCGGATCCAGAACTCCGTTTTGGGGTGGACGAAAAAATTTGCAAGGATACTATTCTCCCATTCGACTGAGTGGTTCTCCAAGTTCAGAGTACAAGTGTGCCTGCTAGGTTGTGACCTACCCTATTTTGAACCCCCATCCTTAAGTACCGAGCCTTCTACCACCTGGCAGGCCGGTAATCTGTTTTATTTGGGGGGGGGGGGGGGGGGGGGTCGGGGGTCGGGAGTCGAGGTCGGGGTCAGGGTCGGGGGTCTACCCACTTAAAATTGCCCTCCGAGAAGGAGGAAGTGGGGGGGTCGACTTAGTTTTTGGGGGGGGGGGGGACGGCTGCCCCTGTCACCCCCCTTGGATCCGCCCCTGTGCTGTTGATGGCAAAATGTACCCAGTTGAAAGAAAGATATAAGACGTAACTATGTTAGTGTGTGTTGATGTCGTGCCTAATAGGTGTCTGTGGTGCAAAGTTTGTTTCCTTTGTCCTCCAGATATTTTTAAATCGCTGGAGTGTCACACTCTCTTTTTGCCTGCCGTCAAGCGCCTTCTTCTGACTGATTTATCCGAGGTAAGAGCATAATGACACTGATTTCTGTCGTACTTTTTAATAAAGGCTCTTTCACACTCTTGCAGCCGAGTACGACCGAGAGAGACAAGACCGGTCTTTAATCCTCTTACGACGTCTTGGGACCAGCTCCGCAGCAGTGCACTTGATCCTAAGATGTCGCAAGAGGCTTAAAAACCGGTTCTGTCTCTCTCGGTCTTACTCGGTTGCAAGAGTGTCAACGAGCCTTAACTGCTTACAGAGTTGAGGAGAGGGGGAGGGGAGGTTATTTAAGATTGGTCTATTCATTCCCTTCGTCGTTAAAGGGGTATTCACACGAGGGAGAAATCCCGGGGATTTGTCCCCGGCACGCGCGCATCACGAGATGAAAACGCGAGGCTTTTGCACATCGCAAAGCCTGACGTTTTCGTCGTGGGATACGCTTGCCGGGGAGAAATGCCCGGGATTTCTCCCTCGTGTGAATACCCCTTAAGCAATTACTTTGAAGCGCCTTCCTGAGCTCCCCTGTCTAACATAGTGCGACGTTAACGGGGCCATGAAGCAAATTTTTGGCTGGAATAAATTAATTTAGAATGGGATTTTACTAATAGCATATTGTTTAATGGGCAAAAGAAAGAAGGTAGAAAGGCAAAAGCCTGCTTTTCGATACAAAATTTTTAAAACAAAGCGGACTATTTTTTTTTTTGAAAGCTCTCTGCCTTTTCAGTGCGATACATCTGCGGTGCCCAAGTACCGAAATCACGTCAGCCGGCCCCAGCTCACGCATTGGACACAAGCACTGCATCCCTGTGCTATCTGACTATACTCCGTTCACCCTTGAGCTGACAGTGCAGTGGGAGCTACAGGCTTGCCGGATCAATCAGCTGCCTCCCTCTCATCACCTGACCCCATTTTGTGCACGTGGGTATACGTGAGGAAGCGTGATCATGTGGCAAAAAGATAGAAGTGTGACTGGCCTAACGAGCACGTAGCTTCCACAGCACTGTGAGCTTATGGGTAATGGAGGATAGTTGCGTGCAGTAAACTCAGCCCTGTACCTTTATTAACTCTGCAATTTGTGAGTTGAGGAGGAAAGCTAAGAACGAAGAAATAGAAAAATCATTTCATGGCCCTTTAATTTTTTCGCTTACATTGAAGGCAGGAAAGAAAAAGTAAGCTTTTACATCATCTTGTTCACAAAAGTTGACAAAACAATAACATTAGTATGCAGTAACTCTTTGTATTCACAAATATCTCGCTACAAAACCTGGCAAGCTGCCCATAAGTATTAGTTAATAATTTTAGATTATACATAGGGTACTTTTTCACAGTAGTTTTTTCTATATGCAGGCCAGGGAAGAAGACCTCACAGAAGAGTACATTGAGGAGAGAGATGCTCTTTCTAAAAAGCTCCTTGCAACCTTAGTGCCAAAGACAAAGAATGGTATCACTGTGTTTCTATTGCTATATATATTTTTTTTCTAAAAAGAATGTACAAGACTTTTTGCAGTGCAGAACTCTGAAACTCTGTCCAAAAGTGTAACCCTACCAGAGATGATAAAGTGTGAAAATGTTTGTCATCACTTTTCATTCAAGTATGGTGCCATGCACAAAAGATTAATTGTTGGGAAATACTTTAAGTATGTTACACTAAAAGTACTACCGTAGAGTACAGCGCATCCACCCATTCTACACTAAGTGCCCATTCCCAAATTTGTAAGATCTGGGAAAATACGCACAGTACATTTATATGTAAAAATGATGACCGGATAAGCGCCCATCCCCCTTTTTTTGCACTTATTTTTGAATTTTGAGTGAGCGCTTGCTTGGTATTTTGCGGCATTTTTGCAGAAAAAGTACTTAAAGTATTTCTTCTGGTACTTTTCTGAGAAAAGTATAACTCCCGACTTCAAAGTATGTTCCCCAAATGTGGTCTTGTTAAATTTATATCACAAAATTATGCTTGTCAACTCTGTAGAAATTCTGGGGGAATATTCTACTCTCACCAAAACGCGAGGAGTCGTTTTGCTCTTTTTCTGCGGGGGACGACTCTCCCGTTGCATTTCAAACTCTTACTACTACTCGCTTGGTCAGCGGAAGCAAGGAGGTTATCCTTCACTTGAGCATTGCTTGCGGAAGCTACTGGGCTGTTGTCATGCTCTCTTCATTAGGAAAGGCTGTGTGAAAAAGTACTTATTTATTTTATTTACAGAAACAACCTGCAGCGCCAAAGCATTATAGCAGGGAAACACAAAATAAAACACATGCTCACGAACATAAATGCAATGGCAAAATTCAATAAATACTGTTAAATGAAAGAACATGCACAAACTCTTTGAAAGGTTATTGTATTTGTAGTACTTTACTTGAAGTACATTGTGCTTGGCATACTTTTTTTATTTTACTACTTTACTTTTTCTACTTAAAGTACACGACCTTTCATTTACTTTGTACTTTATGTTAAGGACCTTTAGATGTACTTTACCCAACGCTGCAGACGTTACAGGAAGGGTTACCTAAAACAGCGCACAAGCACAGGAGGAAGAAACTAGAACACAGCTAAGAGTGCTTACTTCCAGCTTATGTATTGTCAAAGAAAGAGAAAAAAGCTTCAGACATGAAGCCTACGTGTACCCACAAGGTAAAAAGAAGAAAGAAGAAAAAACGGATACATTACTAAGTTGCGGTAGAAAAGAAGAAAACGAAGACATTATGAGGTCACAACAAAAAAAGAGAAAAAAAGAAAGAAAAAACAGTAAGAAAAAAAAAAAAAAAAAAACATTTGCATAAAGTACAGGCCGGCCCCGCTGGCCTGATTTTCGGATGTTGTAGCCTTCTAAAATTTCTCTAGTTTGCCAATTTCAAAATCGTCCTAATATTGTTTTGTCCGAATACATAATTTATTTATTCACAATACCTTACAGGCTCTTTTCCAGAGCATTGAGTAAGTTGGGAGTCATAAGTTGGGAGTCAGCACTTTTTCCTGTGTCCTATTTTCTTCCTCCTGTGCTTGTGTGCTGTTTGGGATATGTCTTCTTAGTGCCAGGTAGCTTAACTCTCTACATTATTACAGAAAGTTTCTGAAAAGTTTGAATGAAAGAGTGGTGCTTATAGAAGGAGTGAATAAGTGCAGTATTATACCAGTGAGGGACACCATCTTTTCATTTCAAATTTTTTTCAATTGCTTCAACTTGTTCCTTATGTAGCATTGCGGGCTGAAAAACTTTCACATACCCAGTGTTTTTGTCAAGACTCGAAAATTTCTAAAATGAGGGTTGTTTAGAAGAAAACAAACTTTCCAGGAACAAACTGCCAGCCACAACGAGTGTTGGGGATTGCAAAAAAAATATACTAATTTGCAAAATATTTATTTAAAACTTATGTTTTAATTAGGGAAAATAAACATAAGATTCCAATTAGAAACTTGCTGAGTGTCATTGAAAACCCTTAAATCTGTCAATTTTAGGACGACTTGAAGCATGTGGGAAGTGGGGGTTGCACTAAAGTTAGCACTCATGTAGCAGGTGCAAGGTGGACGATGCGAAAACATGTATGATATTCTTATTATTTGTGTTCTCATGTATTCGAATATTTGCTCCATTATAATTAAAAATTTTACCCCAGAACCCTGCCTTGGTTAAGATGAAACCACCCTAATGTCTTCGTAATGTATACCTTCTTCAGGAAGACCAGTCACAGGAGCTGAGCTCGTCACACTTTTTGAGGTCCTTGTGGAGGCCTCTAATGATGGCTCTCTTGCTGATGTGAGTGAAGCTCCTCTGCTATGTATTTGTGGCAGATAAGGGCCACTTTCTGAGTCTTCATTTTGTTTGGGATGCATGGTGCAGTTCTTTTTTGTCGCAAACTAACTTGGCCATCTCAATAAAACTGCACGAATAGGTACCAAGCCGTTGGACTTCCTTTGTCGAACGAATAATGGATTCTTCTACCGAAGACTGCACTCACTTCTATGAGTCTGAGATGCAAGTCCTTTTTAAGAAAAACGACGACGGACCTGTCAAAGAAGGTGTCCTTGTGGTGAGTGAATGTTGGCATGGCAAACTGCAAAACTCTGGCTACACAGTACCCTTATTATTGGCCCTAGGGTGCTAGGTCCGACACACACGCTGCTCAAAGAGGGTAGTTTAATGTCTGGAAACTGTAGAACACTTTTTACGGGAACTTCATGCATAAGCTGAAGGGGATTAAAGACCTCGCCATAAAATGGTCAGAAGACCTTCTACCGTCGAATACAGTACTGGTATACAGTTTCTAGACATTAAACTCGCCCTCTCTGAGCAGCATGTGTGTTGGGCCCCCCATCTAAGGCCAATAGGCCCTTGTTACCATATGACTCATCCCACTCAAAGCTGGTTAAAAAAGGAATAGTCAATTTGTGTTTCATGAGCACCTTAAGGTCTTGCTACCATGCCATGCGCTCGAGTTTAACTGAGCAGTATGAGCGCTTGCTGTGTGCCCGTTTTCCAAAGGCTGTGCTTGTATCTGTAGCAGAAGGTGTCCTTAAGAAACTGTGAAGGGGTGTTAATACACGCTCAGATGCACTCCAAAAGGAGAGACAAAAGGTGGCAGTTGTGCCGTACATGCCCAGAACAGCGCACAACCTAAAAAAGATAGCAAAACTTGTAAACACAAAAGCTGTTTTATCTGCACCTGAAAAGCTCGCCAAGATGTGCAAATTGACAGACCCGTTTCACAAAGCACCGGCGGGCAGCTTAAAGAAGCACAGGAGTCCCTTCGTCGCTTGCGCGAAAGGTGTAGTGTATCAGACTCCACTGTTATGTGGAAAGAAATATGTTGGCCAGCCAGGCAGGTGTTTTAATGACAGAGTAAGAAAGCACAATCAGAGATTTCGGAATGGCCATCTTTCGTGTCATTGTCATGACTGCGGGTGCAAACATTTATATGCCACATGTACTGTTCTCGGCAAACATAAAGACAAGACGGAGAAATAATTGAGGCTGACATCATCAAAAGTTCTGGCATCAGCGTGGCAGAAAAAGAGATAGCGTACTTGCAATCAGTGACGGGGCGTCGGATTGGTTGAGGGTTTTGCAGTTGCGCAGTGTGAATGCACGATGTTCTTTGATTAAGCAGTTGAAAGTTAGCGTTTTGTGTTGTCTATTCTTCACTGTCCATGTCCTAAAGTGCAATCATGTTTTCGAATTCACAATACCAATTTGCCAAACAATCAGCACTTAATCATTTATTGTGGAAGTGCATTTTCCAAGTTTTATGTGGGAATTCTTTTTGTTTATTTTAATCTGCATGATAATCATTTACTTTTTTTTTCCTGATTTGTTTCATGATCTTAGGAGTGGCATGCTCAAGCAAAGAAGAAATTATTCACTCTTCTCACACAGTTGCTGCATGGGTAAAACACTTTATACTTTTCTTGGTTGGTCTTGTTTTGTGAACAGTCGTGTGTAGCTCTCTGTAAAAAGGCAAATTTAAAGGGATGCTGAACAAGTTTCTTTTGATTTCCTAAAAGTGTTGTATTTTTGCTTGATTAAAGAATTTTTTAGATTAATAGCACTTATTTTTAAGCATTCCTTCTTACTTTTGAGGTAGTGTCTTCAGTACGGTTCATTCATCTTGTGATTAATTTGTGGGACAAAACATTAATATCTGTATAAATTAGGCCTTGGACAGTCTTGTCTGAGGCACCTTTGCTAATTGCATCCATTAAACAGATTCCTAAAAATCACTTTAGCTTTTCCCCAAGATTGTGGGGAGGTCTGTGTGAAAGGTAGATTTTCCAGCACGACTGGCTGTAGAATGAAGAATTTTGATGAAAACGTTTAGACCTGCAGTTGTTATTTTGCTTAGTGTCTTCTTCAGTGAGATGCTTATACAGCTCTTCTGAAGCTGTCCAGGGTTTTCCTCTTTCTATGGTCACTGGCAGGGTGAGGACGGCAGAGGGGAGTTTCGATCGTCCCTTCTCCAACACGAGCTTCAGTCCTTCGATAACGCTTCGGCGTCTCGTGCAGCTCCAGCACGCGCGTGCTGGAGGCCAGGCACTCGAAAGACACGCCCTGCCACTTTCATTCTGTTGGGGACTGTAGTACCCCCTTTCAGCCGTGCCAATTTATTTACGAGTTTCACGTGCGGTTCTAGAGGCGCGCTCAGACAGGTGTTTGCAGTACAGTCCTCCTTTCTGTTTAGTTTTAGGATTCTAGTTTTTAATGGGGAACCCTTTTTGTCTAGCCTAGAGTAGTGTACAGAGGCAACCTGATACCAGGGTTCATGGTAGTATCAAACTGCTGCATCTCCAGGTTGTCAGATGCCCTCGAGTCAGCAAGCATTCAGCTAGGAAAGAACCTGGAAAGCCTTCATGCCAGGCAGCGAGACTTGAACTCCAAGAAGGTTCGGCTCTTCTGCTCCAACCAGGAACAGAAATATCTGGTCAGTATTGCCTCTCCAGAATAATTGACCCTGTGTATTGAGGTAACCTCCCACTCGTTCCTTCCTTTACTTTTTTTTTTAATTTTTTACATGTTTATGCATTGTGTAGCTCACTGCTGAAGGTCATGCCAGGGGCATTGGCCTCCCCATCAACTCTGCCATACTTGAGCGAGACCTCGGTGCCTTCGCAGACAGTCTAGTCACGGACTTTGCCAAGGAACTGGATAGTGTTCTTGAGGAAGAGGACAAGAAGACATACACCAGATCACTCAAGGTTTGCTCCTGCTTTGGTGCTGCTGTTCTCGTATGAAAGCTCAATCGTGCTTCGATGCAAAACAAGACATCTGCTGGAGGGTCTTTACAGTGATGGCTCGTAGCACACCTTCGAGTTAATAACGTAGACCCGCATGTACGACCTGTGGGGGCAAGAAACTGGGTGGAAATTGTGCAGCATAATAACAAAGCCTGTCCAGATAGCAGTGGTTGCTACCTTCCCATGCCTTCCTTATATTGTTGGGGTGAGAACGACAGGGCATCTCTTTGGAACACCCAACGTCCAGCACTCGCTTGTTACCTTTTGCCATGCATTGGCTGCACGCACACGCTCTAGGTTCTTGAGACGCCGCTGTCAAATGTAGGGTGCTCGCGCTGGAGACGGGACAACCGCTTTTCTCGCCCTGCCGTTCTCACCCTTTCGGTGACCATAGCTTCTGCTGTGCCGTTTTTGAGCAAGTCGATAAAGTGGATCCTAAATGTAGGAAATTGTAGCGCTAACCTGTTGCAAGGAACACTTAAGTTACTATTTCCAGAAAGCTTAATGTCTAACATGTAAAGGTGTGTTACATACACTGGTATTTGTGGCAAGTTTTTATTTTCTTTTACAAAGTGTAAAAGAAGTTGTTTATGCACCAGTAATGCCAGTGTTTGCCTTGTTGGCTCCATTGTTGCCCGATTTTACTTTTATGCTGCACTGGCATTAGTAACCTTGTACTGATCCCTACACCTTGTACTGATGCCCCTTCTCGTTGTAACATTTTTTGTGTTATGATTTGTAATTTGTGAGGGCTTCTGCTCTAGTGCTGTTTTATATCCATTTTTTTTCATCCCAATTTCCCTTCTGACTTTTTTGGGGTGAATCGCAGCAATCACTTGCACATTTGATTGATGCCAGCCAACTCCAGAATGAGCGTGCCTTGGAAGCTGTCTTTGAGAAAGCTGCGGCTGCTGCGTCTGGTGAGAGAGTGCCACTTATTTTTTTAATGAGTGAGATGTGACTGAAATGCTCCACGTTTGAATAAAAATGGATTGTGTATTCTCCTTTCATTTCTTAGATACCTTCTCATCTAAAGCTGCTGTATCAGAAGCTCTAACTGATCAACAACTGACGAGAGCAGCAAAAGAAGGGATGGACGCTGCTTTTCAGGTACATACTTGTTTTTGTTATAGATACCATGTTTGTGTCACAACTCTTGAATTTAGGCCGTGCTAAAAAAGGGGCACAGCTTCAGTTTAGTCTTGGGAAGGTTAGTGTCTTATTTCGAGAGCCTTTACCATTTTCTTGGTGTTCTATCTCATTTAATGTTTTTCGACAATTGTTCTGATTTGAGTTGTACCATGGCTTTATAGGTTTTCGATTCGGAATGCAAGAGGTTCTCAAGCGAAAAGAAGTATGGTCTTCATGAGGCACTGCTGAAGGTGAGTTTTTATGAGCGGTACATTTTGCAGCAGAGCTGAGTGCTTGAACACAAACGTGCTGTTACCATTGGTTTATGGCTTTGTGGCAACAGCTACCAAGCTGTAATGTATTTTGAGCAATCTGGGAAAGTTCAGTGAGAGGGAAGGGGAAGTGGGGGGGGGGGGGGGGGACTTGCACTGTGCATCCAGAATAAGGCTCGCGAAAATGCTAGAAATCCAGTCATTTTTCCTTGCTTTCATTTGAGGTATATAGTAGTATGCATTTTAATGCAGTCTCTTTTTGCATGTGCCTATGTGTTTGTGGTTTTCAGCTTTGTACATCCCAAGCTCTGTAGCTAATATATAATTTCTGGTCAAACAAACATCATTAGACCAAGTTTTTTTGCCTTCTTGTTGCCTTGTCTCTCTTTAATGGAGGCACGGCAACTGGTGGGCACTGTTCAGGCATCTTTTATTTTGTGGATATTTAGCCAAAACAATCGGGTGGGAAATCCCTCGAGGCTGGGCATTTTCTTGGGATTTTTTTGATATGGTGCTTTGGAGTATGTATTCCAAGACCTAACTGTTCTTTTCTCTTTTGCGCTCAGGATGTTATAAACCGTCGTATGGAAGATCTTAGAAAAGAGAATGATCAATTCATCTCAAAACTGATGGCTGATACTGTAAGTCTTGTTTTTTGTATAGCGTTTGACTTTCAGTTTATGCATGTTCAGAATTTTCCTGCATATCTTTAAGAGAAATGGGGCATTGAATCCATTACTTAGTTCAATCGTGCATCACAAGTCCACTCTACAATGTGCCTGTTGTCATTTCTTTCAGACAAGGAAACGCGTGGAAAGGTTTGCTGGGAGATCTGGACCGCAGCATCTATCCTTACCAGTGAATGATACTGACCTTGATCTAAGGTACCTCCACCAGTACATTGCTTATGGTAGTTCAAGGGAAACTCCTCCCACCTCTTTCCACTTCAGCAGAGCGTATGCTGGAGAGGAGGTCATCTCCTCCCCAGCGTTTGCTCCGCTCAGAATATTCGCAACTCCAGCGCGCCGCTCGCCCTCTCGCGGACAAACGGAGAACCAGAGGAGCGGGGATGGCAGTGGCGGCAGCAGCGCGGAAACGGTGGCAGGGACTGTCGGCCTTGGTGCGTGAAGCCGTTTAAACGAAAAAAGTGAGCGCGTAAAAATAGGGATTCTTGTGCTCTGCCTTGCAACAGCGTTGCACGAAGGACCGGGATGTATAATTTCTAAAGGTGTGCGAAAATTCAAAATTTCGAATATTTTCCTTATTCGAAACGTATTCGATTCGGAAATTGCATATTCGGAAGTTCCCGAATATTCGGGAAAAACGGCGAATATTCGCACAAACTGCAAATTTTCGAGCAAGTAACGAATAAACTCCCTGCCATGCATTACCCTATGAATATGTTTATTCACTGAGAAAGGCGTATCATGCGTGCGTTTTCGGTCTGCTCTGTTTCTGTCTGTCCGATGGCAGCAAGACAGGATCAGTTTCGGTTTCTTTTTCGCCAAGCCCTTTCTTGTGTGGCAGTTTTATAGCAATATGTGATGTAATTGCACGTTTTATAAATTGATACAATACAATGAGCCTCGAGAGTGAAATATAAATATAAAATAAATCTCGAGAGTGTAATCTAATATAAATGTTTTTAAATTAAAAAGAAAAAGCTAGGTGCGGGCAGAACATTGCATCGCCATTGACAGCAACTCCTGCCACTCCCGTGCAGTCAAAACTAGGAATGTCGCGAACCTGCCCAGGTTCGAGCCGACCGAGTTTGACTTTTTCGAACTTTCAACGTGATGTTTGACAAAGGTTCGAGTGAAGTTCAACTTTTGTGCGCATGCGCAAAAAAAAAGAAAAAAAAAACTAGTTGACTCTACCTGGCGGAGGGAAGGTGCAATATTTGTTCGGTTTATTGGCCTCACTGGTTCACATTAATAACTAATGAATGCGTTAAAAGTGCATATTTTTGCCTTTATATTGTGTAAACATTAACCATTTTATGAAATATAAAATAGAGTACTTTTTAAGTTATTTGTTTTCAAAAATTTGAAATATTTGTGTAGCAGTTGGGCAACTCTGTCCGTAAGTCGAACTCCTTCGAACTTTAGTGAAATTTCGCAGGTTTCCCGAGTGAAAGGGTCATTCTACTGGCGGAAATGTTGTCACGGCGCGTAGGGAGCGCTTACTTTCTGAACACGTTGAGCAGTTAACTTTCCTACATGATAATTTGTAATGTGTGCATTACTAGAAGTATCTTTAGCCTGCTGCAGTCCAGTAAAATGCAGTTGCATCGATTTATTTTAACAAGGCGAAACAACCTGCTGTTACCTCTTGTTTTGCAATTTTTATATACTAGACACATATTCGATTCAATATTTTAAGCCCATTTTTTTTCGTATTCATTTTGTATTCGAAAATTTCAATATTCACACACCCCTACTGATTTCATTAGGGACTTTTCGTATATTGCATACGCTGCGGATTTCTGGTCTTGTGCACGGCCGCCAGCTCAATTTGTGCTCAACGTGACGGCAAACGCTCCTGCTAATAATGTAGAGCTCTAAAGAACAGTCTATGAAAAGTCTATTATTTGCCATAAGTAGGAGAAAACTCGTCGCTGAACAGTATGTCGAGCAATACACATCGTGAGTGGGTTTGCGTTGTAAGGTTATTACAAGGAACATGCCCATTTATTCCGAGCACTTTCAAAAGACAGATTACCCATACTTGCTTTTAGGTAATTGCAAAGAAAATGAAGAAATGCTTGAAGCATTTTAAGCGCGTCTGTGTTAGCGAACCATTCGGGATGAGAGCTTAGAACGGTCACTTTTGGTGAGAGGGGGGGGGGGGGGGGGGGGGCCGCGACGTTGCAAATATCAGGCACAAAAAATGTATGGTATATTAAAATATTTATTTTTGACTGTCATAAATAAAACCCATAAACACGCTGATTATGTTAAGAGGCAGTTTTAGTATAGCATTACCGCAGGCTACCGGCACAACAACGCTCCTGGCGCGCGCTGAAAATTGTGCTTCAAAGGCGCAGCGGGAGCTTTTGGTTGTAATGCTATACTGTACGGTAGCCCGCGACAACAAACTTTTGTATCAATAACCATAGAGTAGTTTGATCACGTGTTGCAATACACTAAAACCGAGACGGTGAGCAGCGAATTGCGAGCCTGTGGCACGAAGACAGCAATACTGTGAACGCTGTTCTTCCAAAGCTCGATGGTCACCGTGCATGCGCGGGTCACTTTTTGGAGCACTAATGGCCACGCAAAGCGCATACATGATATCTTCATCACCCTCGAAAATATTCTGCCACAAACAGGGACGTGACCAGTGCCTAAAATGTGCATGCCCACCACAAAGCTTCACAAGTTGAAGTTTCTGCAACTTTTAAATATCAGCATGCTCGTTTTTCTAACGTGCATCAACATCTCTGTCACCTGTAATAGGATCCCTCCCTAACCACATTAGCAGACAAATCATTTTTAGCCCACGGGAAATCCTGGAGAATCTATCCCCGTCTCTTCCGCCATCTTGGAACTACCGCCCCGCCACCTATAGGGCGTTGGAGTTGCGAATACGTCATTGTGGAGTGTTTGGTAGTCTTAAAACAATACTTTTTTTGTTTCGGGCGATAATATCAATAGTGCATCGATGCCATCATGCAGGCACAAAGTTATCATGTATTTTGGGTAAAGAGTTCTTTGTAGTATCAGAAATGAGGGGCAGTTATGGATTGTCTTGACTTTGCTGACTGTCTTGCTTTTCAGCAGTCATTTTTTGTCAACACTGATAGCTGCTTTGCACACATGTTTTAGTACACAAAATCTGTAGCAAGCAGTTTTCCTCGACTAAGATCTTTATATTATCTAATTAAACTTCCGTTTCTTCTTCTATTTTACCATTCTGGCGAATTGTTTCAGTAACTTCACCAATCATCAATTGAATGCAAAACGTATCTATCAAATTCCGTGTAATCAGTTCGAACAATGAAAGTATAGAGTTCTTCATACATTTTAATATGAAAAGAAAATGAGGTTGTTTGAGTTTTTCAATATTGATGCTCGTATTCCCCATCTCGAAAAGGGATGTGAATCAACCGGTGTTGTGGAACAAGTAGTATGAGCTAACATTTTGTATGTCATTGAACAAAAACATTTAATGTTTGACGTGGCTCCCATCTCATTACTTTATTAATATTCACAAAGTAATACCAGGCTGAGCAATTTTGCATCTGGCATGTGGCACAGGTCATGCACTTGTGACGCAGTGCTCAGGGCTTTTGGGAGAAGCTTGGAGAGTCTGTATCCATGAAGTCAGTTTCCTCATCCAAAGCGAGATCATTGGCAAAGCCTCACAAATGTGTGCTGTTCTATGTCATCTTATTCGGGTAATGCTGCCGACTGCATTGCTTTGAACATAATTTAAGTTTGTTTTCTGCAAAGTTCAATGTAGCCAGACGAATGCTACAACGAATTAGCCCTGCCATGTCAACGCGTGGAATGTGGGAGAATGTTGCTCAGGGCAGAATCTATCTGCAGCCAAGCTGTGGGAGGAGAATGGGAAGTAGGGCTAGTTGGTATGGGTGCATGGTAGAAACAGCAGAAACCAACTCTTTCCTTAACATATGAAAAAAGGCTGTTATGAGGAGGCCTCAGTAGAAAAAATTGTTTAGCTGCAAATTTGGCTACTAAGTGTACTGAAGCATACCAAGATGTAGCTAAAGGAATTTATCTTTTAAAAAATGTAAATGTCAAACAAGATATTGATTATATATAGGGCTCCAGGTTTTCGGATAAATCCAAAAAACACCCGCTGGTAAAATTTTTGTCAATTCGGATTTATCCGATAAACTCCGGATTATTATGTGCCCATGCCCCCCCCCCCACACGCACACACATACACAGAGAGCAAAAAAAATTAATGTACATATATATATTTCTTTTTTTTACAATTTGAGTAGCGCAGGATCAATGGTCCTGGGAAAATGACACCATAATTTTTTTTCAAGCCTCGGACCATTGTCAAAAGGGGGTCTTACGGCTTGTCACGTCAAGGTTGGTTCAAGGAAACAGGTCATCGTACCATTCGTGTCATGACAAAAGTCACTCTTTTGGTTTTCAGTTTGGGCCATGGGATTTGGGATTTAGAGAAAGGAGAGGGTATGTTTCTGGGGGTAACAGCGAAAGCTATGGAGCGTAGAGGTTGTATAAATTAGGGAAGAGGGGCAGTTGAAACTTCTCTGTTGCATCCTTAACCACTCCACCTCGCGCGGCCGCGGGATAGATTGATGGGATGACTACGAGCTTCCTTGCGGCTACCTCCGTCAGTTTTTTTATTTTAAGGTATCGACGTTTATTGAAGCCACACTTGTGTGCGACTTTTGTCGTGGGACAAATTAGTAATGCCAATGACGGCAACGCCAAATTCAACTGAATTTGGCGTTGGCGTCAAAAATACGGGAAGCGCACGTCACAAATGGTTTGGAAGACCCAGCAAGGTGGCCAGCGATTACTTGCAACTTGCTGCTTCCGAAAAATGGTTCTTGGCATAGGTGCGCGAAGGTGAGTACACGAGACGCAGTTGACCGCTCGCATTGCACTCTCATATTTGTAAACAATAATAAATGTTACTTTTTGAGCAGGAAGCTTTATTTTTTTCTCAAGTTACAGCATTTCGTGTGTGAAATAAAACATGTTACTGTACCTTCGTGGCACTACAAGTGTGAGATGCTTAGGTTTTGGGGTCACAATGGGGAAACACTTTTAACACTTCCTTGCGTAGCATCAGCCGACGCAAGCTCTAAATTTAGAGCTAGTGTGCACTAAAATTGCCTATGTTATTCTAAAACTCCCTATTGATGGTTCTAGGTCAAGTCTATTTGAAAAATCTTTTCAAGATGTTTTTTTTCAATTTTTATTCCTGCAAGTTTACATTTTGCATGATTATGCTTTGCTTAGGCTCCTACAAGAGGCCCGTACCTCGCAGGCAGAATTCAGACGCTCCCTGGACGCCTTCCAGACTTCGCCCGAGTACAAAAAGTCTTCACAAGAGCTGCTGGTATGTGTATGCAGCACTTGAACCTGTGCAACTGAAAGAACTGTAAAATCAAATTTGTAAGATTTGAGAAAATATGCACAGGACATTTATACATAAAATTGACCAGACAAAATTGACCAGACAAGCACCCATCCCCCAGTTTCTTGCAATTATTTCTAAATTTTGAGTGGGCACTTGCCTGGTATTTTACAGTATGTTGAAGCAAGACACTACTGCCTCTGTTGTGCAACCATCCTGTGCATGAATTACATGGTGCTTTATTTAAGCTTCACAAAATAAAAAAAAAAAACCCATGAAAGCTACAATAATGTGGTTCGTGCAGGTGAGTTGTACGGCCAGGGGGGCATATTCAGTGGTGTCACTAGGGGTGGCGGCACCTGGGGTGCCCGCCGCAACACCCTCCCCCCCCCCCCCCCTCTCGTGGCCGACCCCAACACCCCCCTCTTTCACTGCCCAGCTGCAGCCCCGTGAGCGCTGCACCCAAGGAGGTGTGTGACACCACAGGACATATCTAGCGGCTAATTGTCACGATAAGTCAGATAATTAACTAAAATTTGTTGTAATCAGTGAAAATAAATATATGGTTCCAGATGTACTCCATTCACCCTTAAGCCGAGAGTAGAAGCTGTGCCTTCAGCGCAAGCTCCCTGGCTTCTGCAGTGCTTTGGTTGCGCGTGCCTACACGTTCACACTTGTGTTAGCAAGGGCAGGAAGCTTGTGCTGAAGGCAGAGCCCCTGGTCTCGCCTGAAAGGGACACTGACGGGGTATTTATGCCCGCCAATGTTTTTATTTCTACATGACATTTGAGAGCCCAACTACCCAGAACACAATTTGCGGCTCGAAATTCATTTTCTTTTCTGCCCAAAAACCGCCGATCAAGAACTTGCCGGTTTAAGTCAGCCTCACTCTCTTTTCTATGGTCACATGCCGTTTTCTATGATTTGGACACAACCATTAAAATAATTAGTCATGGTCATCGAAGGCACACATTCAGTATTAAAATATTAAAAAAATATGATGCCAATTTTTTGTGGCTTCTAAAAAACTGCACATACATTGAAAAAAAAAAAAAAGGTTGCAACAGCTATGTGACATTTGGTGACTTTCTCCTCTATATTTCTTCCTGTACAAGTTCAATTTCGAACAGTTGCATTTTTTACTTTATTAAAAATTAATGTGACATTGGAGCCAAATATTGACTGGGTAGTCTTCTGACACCATAATAAATGGCCTGGCAAAAAAAAAGAAAAAACAATTTTGGGGGGTGTTAGTGTCCCTTTATGGGTAGATGGAATATAGAAATTTGCTGAGCATCATTAAAAACCACTAAACAATTAAATGAGAAAGATTTGGAGCATGTGGGGCATGGTGGTGCACTGAAGTCACCACTCATGCAATAGGTACACGGTTCGCAGAGCAAAAATATGGATAATACTGATGTGTTGTCATCTGTGCTTTTGCACTGCCAGCCTTGAGCCAGTACGACCTTTAACGCACAGAGTTAGAAGCTTGTGCCGCAGAAAATCCAGTGTTGGCGTCGGTGGGGCCATAAAATCCCACAATGCAGTGTGCACTGCCACGTGTGACGTCACACATGGCTGTGATGTCATGACCCTGTCAACCCGCTAAATTTGGCGGGAAATTTTGCAGATAAATTTAGAGGAAAATTTCCCACCAAATTTAGCGGAAATATTTCCCGTCAAACCTAGCGGAAAGATTTCTCGCCAAATTTAGCCGAAAATTTTCCTGCCATATTTAGCCGAAGAGAGAGAGAGAGAGAGAGAAGGCTTGCGAAAGGGGAAATACTAATGTGTATGTCATAGCCAGAGGCCAGAAGTTCATCATTAGGTGGGGAGGAGGAGTTAACAGCTGATAGAAGGAAATATTAAGAAAGACCCGACAAATTTAGCTGAAATTTTCCGCTAAATCTAGTGGGTTGATAGGTTCATGACATCACAACCACGTGTCACGTTGTGTGTCACAGGACACAACATCACACATGACGTCATGTGACGTGACATGACACGTAACGCTACCGACTAGACCACGCACACACGCTTGCACGGCTTGGGAACAAATGCGGGTTGATATGAAAAGGCTTTGCAAACGGGGCCCGATAACGCTATTGCGTTCCATTCTTAAAGGCGAAGCTTAAGCGTCCCCCAAATTTTTTATAAAGTCTGTAAAGGCTATAAAAAATACCCTGTATAGCTAGCAGAGCCGCTTGAATAAGAGACGAGGCTTAATCCCGTGAAAGGCACAACTGCTCATTAGCCGTGCCAAGTGCAGCACGCAGGTGCAGTTCATGGAGGATTAATAACTTTAGGTGCATATCCAAATTGCTTCCAATTTGTCAGGATGCAGAAAATGAAAGTAGATGCTTCAAAGCTTCCTTCTGACAATTAATTTAGTGACCGTTGACACTGCTTGAGTACTTTTGAGCAGGACTTTCTTAACAAATAACAAATTAATTGTGCTAAACTTTTCATGGCTAATTATTTTTATTCAAAGATTTCTTAGACCTCTCCAAGTAAGCTCCTGGGAAATTACCACTACATCATGTTCTTTTTATGAAATTTAAAATGTCAAATTTTAAAACCTCGAATAATGCAAGTGGCTGGCGGAAGTGGCGGGCCGGAGTCATCTACGTAATAAAAGTATGTTATTAGTATATGCCATGCAGTCTTTTGCATAACTATGAAATCAGATTTTTGCTTATATAGTCATGTCTTGTTAATATGGGCCCCATTAATACTGGCCCTGTAATATGGATGCCCCTTTATATAGATCAAATTTACGGGGATGAACTGCATAAATACATGCATTTTTGTCTCATTATTATAGACGGCTGATATTATGGACAATTTTCTTGGGGGTACAGAGGTGTACATATTAACAAAATATAACCGACTTTGCAGAATATAGACCATTTTACTGAGTGCTTTCAGGGTGGCACCATTTTGTTACATCCAGGCATTTGAACAAATTGAGTGGCGTAAAAGAGGGAGAGTGCACCCAACCAATCCCGGTAGCGGACGACAAACCGGCCGCTTTCCATGTTTGGGCAGTACCCGTGGGTTGTACGAACATTTAACACTTACTCACTGCTGCCATTGTGAAGTGGTTTGCATCTCTAAAGCACTTACGCCTACTCGAGGAGCAATCTGTTGTGCGCTATTGTCTTATTTAAGTAAACAATAGGCTAGCATACTTTCGTTTGGTTACTTCAATAGTAATCGCTTTCACCATCAGTACAACCCTCAACCGCTGTATCTCTCGCATCAGCAGACAATAGAATCCTGATTATACAGTTCTGAGTTTGAAAGAGTCTTGCTTGGTTTTTGTGAAAAGCCACGCAAACATACAATTTTTCCTACTCTGGGCTCAGAAACATTAAAACCCAGATTTGTTTTCCTTCCATGTTCCCAGCCATATGTAAAATAATTTTGTTAGCCAAGAAAGCACCTTCGCGTCAAGGGTAGCTGTTTTTACTTTTTTATGAATTGCAATACACAACCTTGCACAAACATTGCTGTGTACTGTGTATTGAAGTCAATTGTGCACTCATTAGCCATTTCCTGAGAGCCGCCTAAGCGTAAACATCACAGAAAGTTGGGTATTTTGGTTACATAGAGACCACTACAAACATCTGCGATAATGTAAGCCCAATAAGGTCTTCATATCCAAGGCTATCAGGCAATTTGTGTAAACCCGTACCAAAAAAAAGAAAAAAAATGTGCTGCTATTTATATTAAAAAACCTGTTTTGCTTTTTTTTCATCTATACTTGTTTTCATCTCAAGAAACAAGCAAGTTTTGCACATTGTTCATACGCGGCACGAATTAGTTCTTACAAGATTTGGCTGTTGGAGGAAAAAGCTATGCTTTTGGCATTTGGATCATATATGTCTTGATAAGATAACATAGTATATCTAATCTAATATTCACCCACATATATCTTGATTATCAACATAAAGGGGGAAATTAGTACTGCTCCACGAGTATCCCGTCTTTTTTTACTACGGTTTTTGAGGTGAAAATGGGTATAGACTTATCACACATAGTTGCTAAAGGTCCAAATCAGTTTGAACAATCTTGCATAAAGCTACTGCAACTGCATGAATTTTTTGCGAGAGATGACAAACCAATCGCACTGTTTACAGGGTTACATTCACTTTTCTTTTTTATTTGCGCAACAGGTGACATCAGGATTGTGCCCGTTCGGTCACTTTATTGGATATAGTAACATTTTACATTAACTTGCACATCTAAATCCGCACATTTGCGCCTAATATTGCCGAAATGACGTGATTTTCAACAGCGTTTGCACACCAACTGGATGTTTGGTACCGCCCAGTCTATGAAGCAGACAATGTGCCGGATAAGAGGGAAGAAGCCTGTTTTCCTCTCTGTTCTTTTTAGTGAAATGGTCTATAATGTTGCCCAAGAAAAATCATTTGGTGTCTGTGCTAAATATTTGTTGCGGGCCAATTTCAGGAAAAACTGAGGTCCGTGGAGAAGCAACGCAGAACCGAGAATGTGGCCGCATTCACACGTGTCGTCGGAGAGCCCCTGAGACGGGCCAAGCAGATAATCCTGCTCTCTGCCGACAAGTTCGGAACCGAGTTTACTCTACGTTCTTTTGTGAGCGTTCTTGCTCTTCCCTCACTTACTCCTCAGTTTCTCATTAGACTCTGCACTGTCACAGTACCATGGGCCCTTTGTTTTCGGGTAAAACCTGATATTTTTCTGTATTTACACACCGATTTTTTATTGAATTTGGAACAAAAATTTTATGATTTTAGTGTTTTTTGGCGATGTAGAAATGTGGAGATCATTAACGGAATTTATTGAAAGCACGCATGACAGGAGTGCCATCCCAGACTACCGAATGCCACGCTGACCTTGCTAAGCGTTGCCAATGAAAGCTTTGATACTGAGAAACCATTCTCTCAGTTAGGATACGTCTGAAGACTGGATAGCTTTATCGGGACAAATTCTGCTCATACAGACACTTATGTTTGTCAACAAAAATTTGCTGAAAATCGAATTGACCAAATGGGCTCTTGTGCCATGTTTTAATCCGATTATTTACACATTAATGACTTGTTTGTGTAAATCAAACCTTCCATGACCTAAAAGCAATTAATACTTTTTGTAAATTATAGTTGTTGATCTTTATATATAACGCAGAGAGTTCCGTAATAGTTTCTAGAGAATCCCTATGCCTCCCCACCTACGAGCATAAAAAATACCACCAGATTTTTACCCCCCTTTCCCCCCATTCTTGGAAAACATAACACTTGACAACGAAGGGCCCTACTTATATCTAGGACAATGGTTCTCAAAACCTTTTTTTTTTATCTTCATGAACACTCATCTCAATTTATATTCATAGCCAAGGCTTCCAGTCTCAACATTGATGCAGGAAGGCAGTTGAGAAGCCCACATACCTTGCAAACAATAATCCACATAGTACCACGGATTGTTTGGCTCATAACTATGCATCAGTGGAGGGCTCAGATCTGCTGAAATAGTGCTGAAACTGCAGAAATGTGCACCTAGGGGCAGGAACAGCTTAAGGAACCTATTGGGATACTTTGGGGAACCCAATAGTAATTCCTCCATCAGCCACCAGGATTTTTCAGCCCTGCAGAATTGCAGTTATCAAACCTGTAGCAAGACTCGCCGATACAGTGTCAGATGGGCGTGGTGTTGACTGGATGAATGCGCAATAAGTGCAATAACCGTTGTCCGACTTTTCAGATCATGGACGCGTGCCTTCTTCAGCTCGGGGACGGAAAGCCAAAGTTCTGGCAGCAGGACTTCAAGAGGAATATTGTGAACAACTTCATGAACTCTGACCCCGAATTAAGGCAAAGGATAGACAGCATCAAGGGATTTTGGTCGAGTGTGGTTGGCTTCTTTCTCTGGATTCTTTGGCTGATTGGATTCTGATACTTTGCGAAATTTAAGTGCGACATATTTTATTCCTTAACATTTATGGAAGTCCCGTATCTTCAATGAAGACTTGTCTTATAGCAAGCTACTTTAGGGTTATAGTAAATGATGAACATGTTATTGATAGATGGCGGATTCTGATACAGTAAAACCTCGTTATAACAAAATGGGATATAACAAACTAATGGATATAACAAAGCAATCATAATTCCCCTTGCTTGCTAATAGTGGGAAGAAATGGACATCGGCTATAACAAACTAATGGTTATAACAAAATAGTTACGACCGCTCCTTCAACTTTGTTATAACGAGGTTTTACTGTACTTCAAAAAATTTTAGTGTGACATATTTCCTTTTTTTAACATTTGTGGAAGTACCTTCAATGAAGACTTGTCTTATAGTAAGCTATTTTATGGGTGACACTGTCTATAGTATATGATGCACAATGCTATCGATAGATGGCTACAATAAAGTGCAGATGTGATATCGTGATATCTCTGAGGATATGGTTTATCTGGATGTGGAAGGTCACAGTAATGCGAAAATGATGTATAATATCCAAACTCCTTGTTTGTGGTTGTTTTTGCTCTGCAGAATATAGTTTCTTTTGATCTATGCAATTTTTCTTATGTTTATGGTGGCTGGAGTTGCACCAATCAACTCTCTCATTGTGCTGATGAAATAAATGCTACATATTTGATTATCTTGTAAAAAGGCTTGAAATACACCTAAGCACTTACGAGTTTTGAATACAAAAGCATGAATGCCGTTCTTCATGCCGCGGCTGCTTCTGATTTTCTCGGCACCGAGGCTGCTTCTGACCCTTTCGGCGCTGTGTGCCCGCGCCGGAGCAGGAACGGCTGAGGTGCCGAGAGGATCAGTGGGCGCATCGACCGTTTCTGCTCTGGCGCGGGCACGCAGCGCCATTGGGGTACCCTAATTGAAACTGACGCACGGCAGCTTCATAGCACTGCCGTTTTGCATGGCTTTTGCGTGGTTTCAAAGCTGAAATACCTCAAATTGCGGCTTTGGCAATTTATCTGCCGTTTGGCGTCGTCAAACATCGGCTCGCTCCAGAAAACAGTTAATGATTTTGCATTAAAAAAAAATGAATCCAGAAAGCTATGAGGCTGCTGATATTGGCCTCAAGTACTACAGTTGCGATACTCCATTCACCCTAAAGCTGACAATGCGGTCGAAGCTGTTCGCTCATTACACCAGTCTCATCTTTCGCCACATGATCACGCCCACTCCCATACCCATGCGCAGGGAGCAAGGTTGGGTGATGATTGGTTCGGTGGGCATGTAGCTAGCTCTCACCCTGCCATCAGCTCGGGGGTGTGCGAAGCATAGTGTGTAGGCACATTGTTTTTGTTTATCCACTGTCCCCTGTGCTCACACAGCAGGTAAGGACCAGGCATCCACAACGCTTAAACAGAATGCAGGGAACCATAGGACTGCAAGCTTATAGTCCACGAAAACTGCCTCTATTGATGAGCTTTACTTACGGAACCAGTGCCTCCCAAGGCAATGACCTCGTGCCTGTAACTTTCATGTGCTGCAAGCTAAGCTACGACAGAGTGTAGCGTCGCTGCACCAAAGTGCATATGGAGGTCGAATCTTGCAGCATCTACTATTCAGAAAATTTTGGATGCTAAGTTCTTGAGTGTTGGAGGCTACTTCCATGGTGCAAGCTCCTACATAGGGTAAGACCCTCCAAGGATATCGTCACACACACATACTTTCTTGTGCGCTACTAACTAATGGGGAATTCCCTCGGTGGATTCGGAGCGGTCCAAAAGCGCTACATGCTCGAGTGTTTTGAGCAGTCACAAACGTGCACGCAAACGGCCCTTCCAGCGTTTTGTGTCGTCGGCGCTGAAGGAAACGCAGGCGATTCTGGCGTGTGGTGACAATAGCGGATATGCAATTTCTACGCTTAACTGCGCCACAACGCTTACCTTGCTGTGTCTGCGTTGGCGGTGCTTCACGCGTGGCAGCTGTGCAAGGCGGGGAAGCGAAATTTGCAGAGCAATCGCTCCGCAGCCGCTGCGCGGATTGCGTGAACCTCACACGCAGCCCGCGCTGCCTTCACAAATCGTAGCGTAAGTTACACTGCGTGTCGTATGACAAATGTTGCGTAAGTTGGTACCACGTGTGTCAAAAACCAACCGAAAATCGCACTAAAAACCTTAACTTATAAAAAAACTTTTACACATATTTTTTTTTTTTTTTAATAACACATGGGTATTTGCGGTACAGAACTCGAACTCGCGTGTATGCTTTTAACGAAACCTTATTTGCGATTTGCGTTCCTTGAACACGCTCTTTCGTGGAAAATCGCGTAAAACAATTTTCGCATAATCCGACCTCTTTTTTTTTTTTTTTTTTTGATATTTCGTGGTTTTTTTCGCACGTGTGCTTCAGCCTTCAGTCGCGCCCACTCCTCTGTAAACGACAAATGACGATTGATCTCGTCTGCTGCTTTTACGTTACCGAGCGCAGGAACTAATAGCAGCTAGGATAGCCGTAAAATTGTTAGATCTTGATGTTGAAGAAGAAGAAGAAAAAGGCTTATGAATAGTGAGGAGTACGATGAGCAAAACTACTTTTTATTATTATTGATGGAAAACGGGCGCCATCTCGCAGACTCTTTGCGACTGGCGGCCCTTTGTTCTACAGCTGCCCCTGAGCGGAGCTGGGCAAGTAGGGGAAACGACTTAACGAAGTACAGCACGCGTGCATCGTTTCTTTTCTTCTTTCTATTTTTTGTTTGAATTTAAAATAGTGATACCGTGTTATTCTAGAAATATCTAGAATTCTTGGCGGTGGCCTGGTGCACATACTTAGTCATAACTGAGAGGTTTTGCATGTGGGCGTTGTGAAATTGTTTTTCTGTGCTACCAACTTGATGTGGCTTAACAAGTTCTTGTTTTGGTCAGATTCCCAATTTTCTTTGCTGCTTTTAAGTTGACCTAAGACTATTTATATTATACAGTGAGTAAGCAAAGTTTTTTAAATGGGTAATTAGCTTTAGCATTGAATATCCACAGTTTATTGACTCACTAACAATTTTATGCTGATATATTATTGCCTTTAAACTAAACAGCTAACTGCTCTTGCCGTGCGCTGCTTGATGATCAAAACTTTTTATTTATTTGAATATAAATTTTTCCGCTTTATTCCAGGTTTTACAATTTGTGAAAAGACTCTTTATTTCATACTCGTAATGATTCTTTTTCAAAATTATTCCTCTTGAATGTCTATTGATTTTGCTTCAATTATCAATATTTTAAATGCACCATACTCTTACGACGTGGCCGAACCTGTCGCGAGTTAAGACATGCATCCAGTGGTGGCTGAACAACTCCGAGGTTTATCTACTCTGAAAAAGACAAGGTTCGAACACGCCACGTGCCAAAACGAAAAAGCACACGATCACAAGAAAAGAAAAGATATGCACGTGCTTCACACGTGACAAACATGATTACAAAATACACAAGAAAACGTTTGTGGAAAACAATAACATGGCACTGCGTTTTCCACACATACATACACATGTTTCATAAATCTATGTGATCATTTGTCTCTGAACACCTCCTGATCCTAAGTGTCTGCTTGAAACCAATGCTATCAATTTTATATATTGGATTTCAGTTAATTAAACTGCTTGACATTTTAATGGTGGTAGCTCTTGGGCATGCTGGACTAGCAAAGTAGAAAAGGCACTCTCTTTTTTAAGTATGAATGCAGGAAGTTGATAATAACAAAGGACATACATGTGTCCTACATTTTCTACTCCACAATGCACTTCTGGCAGCTTTTGGATGCAGATCTGGGCTTCCAAATCAGCTTGCTTGCTGCTCCACACCTCTTAATGAGGCAGCCGATGATGAAAGCAGAACCATAAACACGACAGCTCTAAAAGGTGCCTCAAACACCACTTCGGCTCATCACAATGCTGTGATACAATACAGCAAATGCACTTTTGTGTTATTGCCTAGTTGGCTTGGTCTGTCAAAGCACAAGCTCCATTTCATCTTCTTTTTTTTTTTGTCTTTGCTAGTTCAAAGGCTTTTCATCGATTGATTTCACCATCATTATGCATGTCTCAATCTGTCTTTGTCTTAAGACAACTTGCTGTTGCAATTTAGGAGAAGTCAAGAGCTTGCCTTCATAGCTCTGACCAGCATTCAAGGTGTACAAGTGCATGGGCGCCTTTAGCTTTGACCGCATTGCACTAGAAAGTTCTCACGGTGTATGGCGTAACTTCACCGATCCCCGACCTGACACCGCACCCTTTCGTTTCTTTTTGCTGTCAGCAACGAATTCGCCCGGGTGGTAGCCGAGGAGTACCTCAAATTCTTCGACTTCAATCAGCGGCCACTGGATGCCGCCCTGCGCATGTTCCTGCACCGGTTCTGCCTGATCGGCGAGACGCAGGAGCGGGAGCGCGTGCACGTGCACTTCTCCAAGCGCTACCTCGACGCCAACCCGGGAGCCTTCAAGTCGCAGGGTGAGCACTACTGCAGGCTCTTGTCCGACTGGAAGACTGTTCTCCCGTTTGTTAAAGCCGCTGAAGCGTATGTCGCAGCACTAAATCAACACTAGGGACAGTGCAGTGCCAATTCGAACGCAACTTAGCACCGATGCAGCATTTTAAAAATGTTTTATCACTAAGATAGTATGAAGTCGTCACTGCATCGGCATAGTTAGCGCTATTTCCAGCACTGACTAACAGTGCTGCGGTGTACGTGTGAACAGGCCTTGAGCTTGCCGACCACTCGTTGCAGATGCGGTGCACACGCTGACTTGCGCGCTGAGGCTCCTCAACACGGACCTGCACGGAGAGGTAGGCACCAGTCTCTCTTTCATTTTTTCTTTGACGGATCTCGAGTCAAGTAATCATATAATGGCTCGCACAAAGGCAGCCTAGTCATTCCTAAGCTCCCGCTCAAGTTTATATCTGTACAGACGAAGAGCGCTTCCGTCTTGCGTGGCACTCACTTTTGAGGTGCAGTGTACAACGTTTTGTTTGAGGCATCACCCAGCCTTATGAGATGTTTTCCCATCTAATATATTTACGTCAACAAACATGCCGTGGTCTGTGGTCCGCTTTCGGACAGTGAAGTTGTGCAAGTGGAACGACCACATTGGTATCTGTGCCAAGTGACCGAGTGTCGCTGACGCAAAACCTGCTTGTGGCACCACGGACTTTTTTTTTTTTTTTTTCCGTAGCAAAGAAATTGCTGAAGGCTTCCTAAGAAAGGTCTGCTATTTGCAAAGCAGAGTTAATGCCCTTTGTTTCTTCTAGTAAAGGCAAGGAAAAATTAACAACTTTTCCTGGGAGACTATCAAATAAAAAAAACTTACAATCTAAGTGCGTATTTTTAATTTGAACTGTGTTAAATTTGAAGGGTTTCGCTGTCCCTATGAGGTCTTAATTATCGAGCTTCGACTGTGACAAGCATAACCCTTTTACGTATTCCTTCTAGCCATGGCAATTTTTTTATTTGTTCATGCGAGAAAATATTAGGGTTCAGTTTGCATGGAGGATAGGTTTTCTGGACTTTATACGGTGCTCTCCGTTTTGTTCTTGGCAGAGAAAGTTGGTTTCTGTAAATGGGGAGTTTCTGCGGGCTAACCATGGAAGCTATATTTTTTTTCTGTGCTCATCTAAACGCAGAAAGGTCCGACCACCTCCATTTCTCACCACGGTTTCCCATTCCGTTGCCCTGTTGTTCCACACCGTTTGCATCACAAATTGCTTTTCAGCAAGAAGGATGGTCTTGCTGGAAAGGACGAATTTGCCGTCCTGCTTCGGAAGATACTTGATTATGTATGCAGACCCTTCAGCTATGCATATCGCAGATATTTGCGGCGAAACCTCTCGTAGTCGCCTGTGCCTTCGACTCCTGAAAACATATCCCAAACAGGAGCCGAAGACTCAAGGACTCTCATTCTATTGTCGCTTGTTCTCCATTGTAGATCGAAAATGGTCTAGGATTTCGTTAGGGACCCAAATGAGGCATTTCAGGAGAATAGCAAGAGATAGAGAAAGGGGGTTCCCCCTTTAGATTTTAAGGTGCTTGTTTTCTTCGTTTTGTTTAACAACGCTAGGTACCCACGTTATTGGCAGATGTGGGATGGCATATGAAACTCGTTTGGCCCTGAAACTGAAAGTAACTTAGCATAGTATGGAGGCAGCATCCATTTACTGTAGAATATGGTATGTTTCTAGGCTCGCCAGAGAGTCACTACCCAGAAGTTGTAGGCGGTGATTCTCCGGTGACCTTCCTATAACAACTTGATAAAGCAGGCTAAGAATAAAAGAGAAGTGTTACATTTATCTCCCCAAGCTGACAATGAAGCAAAGAAGGTTTTGAAGTGTTATGTGTTGATGACAACCAAATTCTTACTTCCTTTGTTTCCTCTTTTTGGCCATTGATAGGCAAACATGTCACTAAGTGCACTGCTGAATATTGCTTTTATACCGATTTATTTTCCCTTTTCTTTGTTAGTGTGATAAAAGTATATGTTTTTCAATTACTGAATGGGCGTTTTAAAATGCTTTGTATAAGTGTATCACAATCACTTGTGGGAGCCGGCTTTGTGATTGGGACATAGTTTGCAGCATGTTTTTATATTGTCATGTAGGTCTTTTTGTGTGATGATTGGTGTAATTTGCTGTACCACAATGTCCACCCTGCTAAAATCTCAATGAGGTTGCAGTATTGAATAAATAAGTACAGTGTAGACCGCATATAACGTATGTCGCGGGAGTCGCAAAAATCTGCACTATAAGCGGTACCGCGCTATAACTAAAACATCAATTTTTCAGGCCAAAATACATGCCATGAGACCACTTAGCTTTGTGAAACAATTTATTTATGTTAGATGAAAAATAAAGCTTAGTTTGAGGAAAGTCTTTACTTCACCAGACTAGTACACTTCTCTCTCAAGTGTGTCACACATTTTGAAAGAAATGAGCGACTTTTGCCTGGTGCAGACTTTTAACCGCGTCGCGGGTTGTGGACGGACGTTGCGAGAGTTCAGGATTGCTAACCCGAATCACTTTTCTCGGGCGATGAAAAGGCGTGAAAACTCGCATCCTTTATACGGTACGCGCCAGTAAAGCGCGATCCAAACCAACGCTTCTTTTTGCGCCTGTAGGTCGTGCGGCTGCGGATGTGACGCATTTCGTGGCGTTTTTGCTGTTTCCGGGCGCGCTTTCTGAGTCAGAACCGTGCGCTTTGGTGTGGACGGGCGAAACTTCGGGCGAGCGCGCACGCGCGCACAAGCAAAGTGCAACTGCGACAGCCTGGACGGCGAGAGAAAGAGAGAGAGAGAGAGATCGCGTTGTCATGTTGGAAGAGAATAAAAGGGGGGGGGGGGGGGAGGAGAGGGCAGCCAGACGGCGAGAAACGCGGAGCCGGAACTGGCTCGCCCTCCACCGATTGGCCGGGACACAGGCGCGGCCTGCTACGTCACCGCGCTTTTTTGTGCGGCTTGAGAAAGAAGTTGAAATCAACCAACTTCTTCGTGCGCGCCCGGAAGGAGCGAAGAAGCGGCGCGACGTCACGAAAATGCGTCACATCCGCAGCCGCACGACCTACAGGCGCAAAAAGAAGCGTTGGTTTGGATCGCGCTTAATACCTCCAACTTGAGCACAGCATGAAATGCTCCAAATAAGAAATCCAGGTGATGTTCGAAAACACAAATGCTTAGAAAGCACCACTGTAGTCGAAGTAAACAAACACAACGACACGGCCGTTTCTGCCGTCTTGAATGTGCCGCCGACATCGCCGCACGAATAGGTGGATCTTTCCTTCTAGTACGTGCTGGATTATCATAGCGACACACAACGAAAATTCATAGTCAAGGATAGCGCTTTTACGGGGAACGATGAGCGTCCACCACGCCGTCTGCGTCGACGATCACGACCGACGCCATGTTTAAGGATAGAAGCAGCCGGCCTGCGACCGGCATGCAACGCGCGCGAACACTTCTCCTCGACCTGCGATTGGTCTGTCATTGCGGTTGTTTCCAATGCAGCGGAGGGGCGCACAGCACACACGTGAACGACACGTGCGTGCGTCCCTCCGTCGCTATGTCAACTGAAGCCTCTCTCTTCGCTTCTTCTTCGAGCAACCTGCTTGTCCCGCGAGTGCCGCTTGCGGCTCGCGCCGTTATCTGGTGTCGCACAGGGAAGCGTGCTCGCTGCACAGGCAGCGCGGGTCAGTCGGCGCGGTCGGCGGGCTGCTCCAGAAACCGCACTATAACCGGTATTTCCCTTTGCGCGCCTGCGTATTAAGCGGTATCAGTGATGTGATTGCTGCGCCAATTGCGCCAAACTGCACCAAGGGGCTAACCTTGCTACATCCTGCTACATTTCACCGAAATATGGCTAATCTGCGCCAAAGAAGCAATTTTGGTCGTCTTTCAAAAATGAAACTAAACTGAGAACCGTAATTGAGCATGCGTAAGCTAGGTCGCACAAGACGCCACCCGACACAAAGTACCCTGTGTCAATCATCTATTTGGTCTTGCATAATTTTTTCCGACGTCTCGCGTTTCGTGTACTCGTCGTCTCAAAAATCTCGTCTCGCGTCTTTTTTTTTTTTTTTTAGCGGTAGACGCGGGCGTGTGCAGACTCTCGGACGTTAGTGTATCGGGTGCCAAACATGCCGTCATGCTGTGAAACAAAACCACGTTTTTGCGCGGCGGGAGTTACTTTTTGAGCTGAAGCGCTTGTGCGACGTCGTGTGTTGCCGTCCCCACGTCGCTGCAAATATGGCACTTTCTAAACTGAAACGCGTCGACATTCCTGCTCTTGTTTAAATCATACGCTGCTATAAAAATCCCTCTCTAACTCAATGACTGCTTGGCGAAGTTTTGATTACTTAGGTTTTTCCTGGTGGGCTTTCTTTCGAGAGGGACCCCGGTACGTGAAAAATCTGCCGCGAAAGAAAGTTGGTGAAGAGAAGTGAGCTAAAGCAAAGAAGGCAATGTCTGCACGCTGAACCCGCACAGCGTGCTTGTTTGTCTCGAATTCAGTCGTTGCACGAAGCGCTCCAAGAACTTTTTTGACCCTGATTCGCAGTGTCTTGCATCGATACGCTCAGGTTCTTTTTTTCTGTGTGTTTAGTCTGTACCTCGCCTGCCGGCCTGGCAAGCAGAAGTCGCTGGACTGTTTATTGTCGTATGCTGGACACAGGGCCGTACCCAGAAAAAAATTTCGGGGGGGGGGGGGGGGGGGGGGGGGGTTTCGGGAACAACGGCGGCAATTTTGAAACTGTCTATTGTCTTATTTTCGCCTATGAATCATGTGCATCAGTGGCATATAATGGAGAGTTGCAGCAAACCGGAGAACCGGTCCCGGTTTGGTACCCGGTAGCCGACCGGCGCCACTGCGCGTGCGCAGAGGTGGAGATTACTGCAAGTGCACCGACCAGGGCCGTACCCAGAAAAAAATTTCGGGGGGGGGGGGGGGGGGGGTCAGAACCCCCTAACCCCCCCCCCCCCCCCCCTGGTTACGGCCCTGGCTGGACAGTTACATTTTGCATACTATTTTGTGAACCATGCAGTTGGCGACGGAGCGCGGAGTGGCATGGTTTCGGTTTCGGTCGAACAGCCGTTGTCTCCGCCCGCGCGACGAAGCACGTGTAACTGCAAGCCTGCCGAAGTTGCCCTTACGTGCTTGTGAACATGATTGCAACAGAGGCACCAGCCGGAACGCTTGGAACGCGTTGTTTTACGTTTGCTTACTTCTTTTTTTTATAAAAATCTGCCACGTCAAGATATAGTAAAACAATAGCAAAACAACATGTGTTCATGTTAGCTTCACTCGTAAAAAAAATAAATTTGACACACAGTATTATTTAAGCAATGAGCTAGTAACGAATGAGAATAAAGTAAAATACCTCGGAGTCATTTTGTCATCCGACTGCACGTGGGATTCGCAAATTGATGATGTCATTATGAGGGCGGGTCGCGCACTGGGCTTCGTCCAAAGAAACCTAAAAAACGCTACACAAAAAATAAAAGAACTAGCATATCTTGCCTATGTAAGGCCACTTCTAGATTACGCATGCACTGTGTGGGACCCTTCCAAAAAAAATCGCATTGATGGCTTGGAAAAAATACAAAATCGTGCCGCACGCTTCGTCCTGGGCCAGTACGACCGTTTTTCTAGTGTAACTAACATGAAACAATCACTAGGATGGGCGTCATTGGATCTTCGGCGAAAAAATTTACGGTTGAAATTTTTATACAACATTTATCATAAAGCTACTGGTATTAATAGCTCATCATACCTCTTAAAACCAAATTATTTTTCCAAACGTAATAATCATGTGCACAAGATACGCGAATACTGTACTAGGACGGAGCTCTGCAAAAATTCGTTTTTTGTGAGGACGGTCAAGGACTGGAACGCTTTACAGGAATGTATAGTTTGTGCTGCAAATGTTGATATGTTCTTTTCGTTATTATTCGCCCCCTGCAATAATGCCTTCTAGGCGCTGCAGGAGTTCCCTGAATAAAGAATAGAGCAATTTTTTTTTACGGAATTGCTTGGCAACGCCTACAGCACTGTGTACTTGTGGGATGTCTCAGCAGCAAAAACACAAGCAGCGAGTTCCGCCCCAACACGTCACATCACGACACAACACAAAGTGCCCTTTGTTTGTCCAGCACTTAAAACAAATATTTAATTTTCTAAGAATGTATGCTCCAAAAGTCAGTTTTTGCTCCGAAACACTGTTTTGGCTGCTCCAAAAGCGACATTTGCTGCTCCAAAACACTGTTTTGGCTGCTCCAAAAGGTGCTCCAAAATGGCTTAGGCCAATCACATCACTGCGGTATGCAATTACATGGAGTTCTATGGGAGGCGAACCGGTGGTTTAAAAAAGCCGCGTTATACCCGGTCCTGCACTATAAGCGGTTACGTTGTAAGTGGTCTATACTGTAATAATATTTCACAAATGTTTCAAGACGTCACTGTATGAAATACCTTGAGGAAAAAGTTTGCTTCCTGGGGTTAACTTTTCACAGATGCCATGCCTTTGCCTACATATTTCTAGAATAAAGTGTTCACACTGTTCACGATTAAGTTGCCACGTAATGTATGTTGTTTGCATTTGACATTCAGGAAGACCAGGTGCTTCGTGCCATGTGAAAGCACTTTTATGAAATGTATTGGGGTTAAGGGCACCCTGGCCCATTTATCCCAGTTTGTTGCCTCAAATGTAGTGACAGTGGTCGTCCTGCTGTGGTTGGTCATGTGCAGAATATTGGCCACAAGATGACCTGCCTGGAGTTTGTAGAGAACTTGGCGGAGCTCAACGAAGGCGAGAACTTCCCCAAAGACGTGCTCAAGGCCTTGTACATGTCCATCAAGACGGCACCTCTTGAGTGGGCTGTGTAAGATGACCCTAGTGGTTTCCTTATCTTCTCGATCTACACAAAGTGAAATTGCAGTGATAGTACCTCCATCACTTGACAGATGCATGCACTACTCATTACCTATAGACAAGCATGGCTACAGACACTGTGTGACCCCCGTGCATGTGCTGGAACCTAACTTCTGAAGAGCAAAGCGTTGGTGCACATTCTGCTCTGGAGCCAGTGCTGCGGCTGCTTCTGCATGACATCGGAAACATGACATTTGTACACCGATTGGTCATAATTTTGATTTAATTATTTTTTGGTGTAGTTAAAATAGAGTGAACATTTACTTTATCTGTTATTCGAGAATAAGCATTTCTGCATTACTGTTTCCCATTGTTGCCTTGGCTATTTCTTAACTTTTGAACCTCAACTGCTTAGCCTTTGACAAAAAGGCTTGTGGCACTAAGTCACTGAGGGAGTGGAAGCAGTGTAGAAAATTGCTGTTGAATTAATTTTTTTCTTTTTATAATGAGTTATTTAAGGCAGCTTAAGAGACTCCAGACTTAGTGAACCCTGAAGTTTTGAAAGAGTGTGCAAAACCTTTACATGTTTTGCACTGTCGTTCTCATCAGGTAATTTTACAAGTTACTCTAGTTACAATTCCCCGATTCTAATGCACTGGTATATCTAAATTGTTGATATCTGAAAACTAACTCGGTGCCAATTCCCACTGTGTGGATAAAATAATGATCGCTGACCACCTCATTGAATGCACATATGCACAAAAGTTGCCGGTGTTTGACAAGGGTTTGTCACCAAAACGTGAAGATGCTCGATTAATTTTTTTTTCTACCAGAACGATTACTTTTTATATAGATAAGTTTTGTAATATAATTACTTTGTTTTTTCATCTTACAAATGATGAACAGCAGGGAGGCCTTTCAATCGCCCTGCCTCCAGCGCGAACTTCCTATCTCCGATAATGCTACAGCGTCGCGTGAGATTGTGCTAACAAGGTAAAGCCGTGAAAATGATTATGGAAAATGGCAAACAGAAAGACATGTGGTGGATGGGTGGTACCCATTGTTTTGTGGAGTTGCTTGCATCACTAGTGCCAGCTCCAAAACATGTTACGTCTATGTTGAGGGGGCTGTCCTCCTTACCCCGAGTTTTCCGAGGCTTTCCTTCAGCGCTGCTTTTAGAGTCCAGTTGTAATTTGCGCGTAATTTCAAACATATTAGTTGTTGAAAAAAGTCTGCCTTAGAATCGTGCAAAAATACAATATTTGAAATAGACTCGCTAAGTTCGGCTTAACCGCTTTTCATCAGTTTTCTGCCAACAGTGTCGAGAACAAACTGTAAACGTGCTGCCACGCCACATTGCGAAAGTAAAACGAAACCGACAACCAGAGGACGTGCTTCATGCTCTGCCGCTCACTGTCCAGGGACGACTCTGAACAAGACGGTACTTCCTCTCAAGATAATCAGTCCAATGCGTCTGAAGCCAGGCCTGCGGGATTCATTGGCCACAACCCATTCTTGGAGGTGCGCACACTGCCTCTTCCTCTGTCTGTTGTCTGGTTGCCTTTGGAACTGCTATGGAAGCTTCGCTTTAGAGTATCGGCACTTCTGCCATCTCGGTGCTCAAAGTCATTGTTGCCAGTTGTGTTGTTGTTGCCAGTTATGTGGAGCTTCATCTTAAATCGCAGGAAACGTTTTTCCATCTTTAGAAATGTTAAACCAGTCTGCAACAGGGAAAAACAATATCAAGTTGGACTCCTGACACCATTTCTAGAGCTCAGGATGGGACATTTTTTAATCGTAGCTGTTGCCAATGTTGCTTGCTCTGCACTAAGCGCTAGAATGGCGGCACTCACAAGATAATCGAGGTATGGAATGCCGATACTTTAAACATAGCTTGTTTAGTGGCTCTAGGTGGGAAATCTTTGAGCTTAAACATTTTTTTACAGTGCCAGTAGTCACTAGGATTAGAGAATGAAAACGTTTGAGCAATGCTATATTCAGCATTTACTAGTCTCTTCCAAATAAGTTCAGCTTGGGACAGGATGGGCTTTGTTGCTGTTGCGCTATTAAACTGTTAATCATCATTACCCCTTCTGCTCGATTGCTAGTAATCATATAGTTTGTTAAATCCTCCTAAAAATTGTGGCTGCCAAAGCATGCGAATCTTAATTGCCGTCATAACTTCGACTGAAAGATGCGACCCAACCATCGCAGTTAATCCCGGCACAGTTATTATGCGGGCTTTAACTTTTTCAATCCCTCCAAAGCAGTTCTTACGCCAAGGCCGCGTTGTACTACCATTTGGATTGAGTTCTTTTTGTCATTTTAGATACTTGAATTAGAGCGTATAGCTGGGGGAGTGACTGGGCATTTTTTGTAGTTTAGTATGTCAAACTTGCATACCTGCCAACTCTCCCGAATTTTGATCACATCTCCCAATTGTACAAACACGACCTCAAATCTCGCAAAAAATGATTGCCATAAGTTTTTTATTTTTCTTTTTTTTTACGCTTTATTGTTATAATCATTGCGCGTGTCAATACGAGTTACTTGAGAGTAGGTTTAGGTTACTCCGGCGGGTTACCACATGACAACTCGCAGCAGCAGCGTAAAACGAGGGTAGATTTTCAAACGCCAATGTACGAAACCTCTACTCTGGAATAAGTTCGAGCTAATTTTGGAACACGGCTTTTATGATCATGGGTGCGCAGCTCTAGGCAAGGTGCTGGGCTTCAGTTGGCTTTGTCAGGTCGTCGAGTGAAGTGCGGAATGCCGAGCTACTCTTTGTGTTTCCCCGGGTTTAGTTGAAACGATCAATGGCACTTTCAAAAGCCAAGAGGAGGTACTTGCTAGTATTTCTGAGATTGTACACGACTGACCACGATTGTCATTTCGTGGGAGGGTGACAAGCATAGATTCTATACCACGTGCACCTGTGATGTGAGCGTTTCGCACGGCGGCAAGGCCGACATCAAGATGCACATCGCCTCACAAAAACATCAGAACTATTGTCGTGCCACAGAAGGGCAGGGCACCATCCGCAGTTTTTTCCAAAACAACTGCAAAGACAGTGTAGTCCGCGCAGAGTGCCTCTTCACAAACATTTGTGTCAAACAAAAAAAAAAGAAAAGTTTTTTTACCATTTTTTTTTTGTAGCAGTCTCCCAAATTTTTATGTTGGTGGGCTGGCAGGAATGAAATTGAATAAAACAAATTTTGGTAATATATTTTTTACAATAATATTAAATACTTGCATGTGGTTTGGGCTAGCAATGACAACAATGACTTACCCACTTGGGTTGGCGTGTCGACAGAATCAGAACGGCGGGGAGGAGCTCCAGTTGTCCTGCCTCCAGCACGAGCTCCTTACCTTCAATGAAGCTTGTGTGTCTCGTGGGCCTCGAGCGTGCACGCGCGGCCAAGGCATGGCAAAAGGCAGCGCCCTGCAGTTCTCACCTTGTCGGTGACCATAGTGTCGTCACATTTGTGGCACTCGTTCCTTCGTAAGACTCGGTTGGTAATTTCCGGACACAGGTCCCCAACCCGAACTGTGCTACGGAGTACAAGAAAGGTTACGTGATGCGCAAGTGCTGCTTGGATCCGGGAGGCAAAAGAAGTAAGAGCCCTTTGCTATTTCGCGCGTCGTCAAAGTGCTCTGGCCTCGCCAAGGACAGAGACAAACCTTTTCTTGGAAAGGTTTGGTGAAGCACCGGCAAATGTTTAAGACCTGCACGCAGAGATGCTTGCCCACGCGTATTCGAGAGGAAGCAAACAGACTAAGGTTGGGGAACAAGATGACACAATGTCATTTCCCTAAAAAGGAAGTGTGTTTACAGGATTCCCAAACTTGAAGGCGACGAGGGATGTATCGACATATTTTTTAACGTCCCGATTCGTAAAAGGCTTTGATCCTGCTCGGCTCGAGCTTGAGACACTTCAGTGTAACGACTATCATTTTTACGGGACTTGCAACTCATGAAGCAATTTGTACGCAACAGCTCCCCTGGGAAAGCGTGGCTGGAAGATGTTCTGTGCAACGCTACGGGATCTTGTACTCTATCTGCACAAGGTGAGTGGTGTCCCCTTCTTGTAGGGAGCACTCTGGAGGAAACGGAGGGTGTGGCAACTAAAACCGACATTCTTCCTTCGTTACCAAATTTCACACTTTTACTGCGCTTGAAAAGGAACCTTCTGGAAGTTTCAGAGTGGCAGTCGACGTTTTTTCTAAAAGACTTATTATTAATTGAAATGTCTTTACTTAGTTTGGTGTTACACTATCATTGCCATCAAAAGCAAACAGGAAGCTTTGCTACACGGTGTGTGCTTCACGGGACAAGTATGCCTTGAGAAATATAGTCTCCTGTCTGACCTTTTTTATTTTTTATTGTTTGGGAATCTAATTGAACAAACTGCAATGCTGGGTTAGGAATATGGCAAAGACAGTAGTTGCACCCAAGACTATCCCACAATATGTCCCCCGGTACCCATCATGAATTTCATTGTTGTTTCAGTGTCATCGAGCAGGGACTGCTGCAGCAAATGTTTGAGGCAATACCAACCACAAAGCACAGGGGTGATGAATACCGCACCTCCACTAAATGTTAGAATTATGTGCTGCCAACAGTGAGGAACAGATGACTGAAGACAATGAAAGATAGAATGTATTTTGTGGATGCCTTGCACGTCTAGGCACACCACGGCTATTTGTTCTTCATCTTCGTAACTCATGCAAATCAGAATCTAATTGATTACCTTAATTATTCCTTTCATGTTGAAATGACATTACAATTACTATAGAGGACTTAGCAATTTCAGAAAAGATCAATGCTAGCTTTAGTTGCCATATTCCACTTAAGCATTGCTACATAGAATGGAATCTCCGAAAGAAATTTCTTTTGGCAGTGATTATTTCATTAATGTGGTTGTCACAACTATGCACATGCATGTATGGCATCTGCTGTGCACTGTGTTATTAAAACTGAATTGATCATAAAATCCTGTTTCCTTGTATTAGAATGAAAGTGACCCCATGTCTCGCCAGCATGCTTGCGGGACGTCTTTATTTCCTGTTTTGGCTACCCCGAACCCCAAATAGATAAAAGATCTGGTTAAACAAAGAAATGCATCAGTAGAGAGGGTGCTTCCTCTGATCAATGAACAAAATATGCTTGAAAGGGATACTGACTGAAAATTACTTTGTGTATCACATGTAAATAAAACTACCATAATAGCCCGAGAGATAGCCCACCTAAAAGCGAAAGCAAATAGGGTGAAAATATGGAGTAGGTTAACTTTCGATGTACAAACAAAAGAAGTTGAAAAACTGCTACTTTTAGAGTCTGTGACCTGCGAAACTTGCGATTGCAGGGGGGGGGGGGGGGGTGATGAACCAAAGTCGACTGTCCTTCCTAGTCAGCAATCTTCGCTTATATCCCGCCGTGGCTAAGCAACACCATTCCTACCGAGGTCACCGTCGGCCAGGTCCCTGCGATTACTAGAAGTGGGCTATCTTTCGGTGTTTATCTGAAAAATAGCAAATCCTGCCAAATACATTTATTTATTTATTTATTTATTGTACATACCCTCAAGCGCCGAAGCATTTATCTTTCGGCGGTAGGGCATCTCAGTGTATTACAGTCTGTAAAGGGTTTTTACAAAAATAAATATTCCAACCAAACATTTTATATATGCATGCCAAGCAGTATACAAACTGCAATGAAAAGAAATATGGACAGGCATACGAAATAATATCAAAGCTGTGAGTTGTTACCTAAATTCTAATCTCCCAACAGAATACCCCCCCCCCCCCCCCCCCCTGATATGCATCCCCCTTTGGGGCCCTAGGAATATGGTCACTTTACATTGTATAGGAAAGCATTTGTCAAAACTTTGGGATGTCTTGAGGTTCAGTCCAAAAAAGGTTTTTATCTTCCCTACTTGCTTTGCATTACTTTTTTTTTTTACTAATGCCTACCGGAAAATACTGCGGAAGCGCCCACTCCGAACAAGCGCCCACTATTAACATTTCTCAAACTTGGGAATTCGGCAAATTATACGTTAAGCACCCACAGCCTTTAAAGCGCCGGTATCAACTGAAAATATTCACTCCGTTGCGGTGGCCACAAGACTGTCGGCTGTCATGACGGGAATATCATGTGAAAATAAATGTGCTTTCTCCGATTTTGTTCACCCTACCTTAAAGGTGCACTGACACCCCAAAGGTTGTATTTTTTTGTTGTCTAAAATGGTGCAAGTTGTTGTCATAAACACAAAAATACCACAAAAACAAAAACAAAATATGTGTGCGCACAGCTTTCTTTTTGGCGTTTTTCTCTTCCTTTTTTTACATCCTCGCTTCTTTTAATTTGGGACGTCAAAAATTATGAAATTTAAAAGCTTTGTAAGCGACATTTCTATAATATTTAATAACGGCATTTGTAAAACATGATTTTAACGCAATTGTGAACGCACTACAACCCTTCTTTTTGATATACCAAAAATCGAAGTCCGGAGTGATGTCGCCTCCTAGCTTTTATTCCTCCCTTGTAAAACATGGCGGTGCTGGTGGCGCTCAGCACATGTAGCACTGAAGATGATCGGTGAGTCGGGGAATCAGACGAAGTTCTCTTTCTTAGGTGCCCAACGACCTCTCAGACTTAGAAAAGGAAATCAACAAACAGTGAAAACAATTGGGTTTGGTGTCTGTGTACCGTAGTTTCGGTTGTGACTCCGCCAGGGCAGCCTTTCATGCAAAATTAGTGCCACATTGTTCACAAAAGTTTGGCATTCTCTTCGACCTCAAACTGTTTCAAAGAATTTGAGATCGCTGAAAGGGCCCTAAAAGAACTTCAAACTCGAAAGTGAAGCATCGTCTGCTCACAGTGATAGGCGGCAGGCCCAGAGAATAGCGTTTGATCATGGAACACGAGCAAACACGACACTTCGGGTCGGGATGGTTCGGAGGCGTGAGAGAAACTCGAGTTGCGGGACGACACAATCTCTGACGTCACCGCACTGGCTTCAGCTTTGGGAAATCGTTGTTTTACTTCACAAATACTGAGCTCCCAAGTTCCGAATTTTGAGGGTAATGTCCAGGCATTGTTTTTAGTGTATCGAATAATAAAAAAAAGAAAAGTATTTTGATTTGTTAGTGAAGAGTTTTTTATTGGCCACCATCTTGGTTTTTACTGATGTGATCGTACAAGTGCCCATGTCTAGATAGACACAGTTTTCAGTGTTTGTGGGGTGTTTGCTTCCCAAGCATATTATGTTAAGTATATAATGTCCTCTCTGTTATTTTTCACTCAACTCCAAGAAATATATGATTTTGTCTAGAAGAACAGTTTTACCTTGTCTTGTAACTTTCATGATGAAGGTGCATGCCTTCATGAACTTCGTTTCAGGATGAACAAGGATTTCGCAAGAATCAGCTGTATGAAAGCCTGCATAACTCTATTCGAATCCATCATTCATTGGCCACCAAGGCAACAGACTACACCAAGAAGCAGCATGTGTTCCGACTACAGACAGCAGACCAGGCAGAATACCTCTTTCAAACAGGGTAGGTCTCCAGGCAGCAGAAACGCCATTTTTGTTTATGCCTGCACCATAGAGTCCGCTTGTGTCCTCCCTGCATCCCTCGTATCCTCAGGTTTTCTTGGCCTCAGTAATATGAGGCATGCTTGTAGTTCAAGGAAATTTCTTTTTGTTCCGCTTGATAACTGTAATACAAAAACGGCTTGACACAACAAAAATAACAATTTAGTTAAACGTTTTGCCTACCATACGGGAGGAATTTTCAGTAACGCACAGAGCAAATGAGAGTTGCACGAAAAGTTTGATTATTTAGGCATGAAGTTTCCGTACGTATCCGGCAGGGGGCCACGGTTCTTGTTAACCAGCAATGAGTCACTTCTGCGTTTGTCGTCCTGGATGAACCAAGATTCCAGCAGCATTCTCGATCCTCTCGGTCCCCACCTTTTCTCCCTCTTTGACAAGGTCGATGCCTTGTCAAAGTCAAATTGGGGGCGTGACGTTCATGCGTGGTCGACGAGTTTGAATGTGAAGCGGGTGGCGTCCGTGGAATTGGCGACGTCCCGCGCGTGTTCTTTTAGTCTTGTTTGTCTTTTTCGTCCCGTCTCTCCAATGTAGGAAGCGTCGCATTCCTTGCACTGCACCAGGTAGATCCCGCCCCTATCTGTCTCTGAGGGGATCGGGTCTTTTGGCTTGGAGATAACGTTGGCTATTGTTCTGTAGGCTTTGTATACAGTTCGTACTCCCAACAGCCTAAGCACGCGTCCCAATGCCGATTTTTCGGTAGACTTCGATTTGGCTGGAAATTTGCAGACCGCATCAATAGCTTTATTTCAACTGATAACCAAAATATTTTATAAAAATAAAATTTTTCCGTGAAGTTATCGAATTTTCAAGTTACGTCGGCCGCAAGGGTTTGTATTTTTCCCTACCCGCGTACGTCATGGGTGGGCAGGCGGACGAGCGACTCGGGCAGCCGCGAAGTAGCTTTCTGGGCGCCAGCGATCGAGATTATTTTTTTGCAGCTTAAGGTTGAAAGTTCCTTTGCTATGGGTAACAACCTGTGCTCCACGATAGATAGTAAAAACAGTGCCGGGAAAAAGCTTCTTTTTTACCCTTGTTTTCGTGGGACAAAAAAAAAAAGTGTTCCCTGTCAGCAGTGGATGTCAGCCACGTCAAGGTGCTGTGTGCTCAGAAAAGTGAAAACGTGAAACATTTTCACTTTTGCTCGGAATACTTTATAGCCGCGTGCTGCGAGTTGAGTATCCTTCAGCAGCTGGAACAGCTTCAAGAACGGCAAGCGCAAACTCAAGCCGGCTGTGACCACTACGACATCCGTCCAAAGAGGAGCGCCAATAAAATCGACAAAAATAGTACACACTATAGCACTATAGTCAACATTTTGCACAGTCACATTTGTTATTCACAACTGGTTCAGTGATATTTTTTTTTTATTTTTTATAAACACTATTTTTGTTTCAAACGTCAAATCTAGCTCGGGCTACTCTCGGAGTTCCACTCACGCGGCCGATATGTTGAAGACAAGAAGTGAAACGTCTAAACAAAGTTCAAGTCTGAATTTAGACATGACTTTCGACATATTGCTATTCCTGTCTGCTATTACAGAGGTTTATGGAGCAGGTGTAGAGCTCCATTAATATACATACGATAGAGCCTTTGGCTGGTTTGACAAATGGTTGGCAGGCAATATTCTCTGCAGACGAAGTGATGAAAACGTCTTTAATTTATTCTATTGCAAAGAAATTTTATATAGGGCTGAAAAGATTTTTTTTTAAACCATGAAGGATATTAATGTCGTTGAGAAGAGGCATGCAGATTTACAGCTGATGAAAAGTATGCTAAACTAAAATTTAATTTTAAAAAAATCTATAGAATTACCCCCTTCCCATGTGCTCTCATTGATGGGTGTTTAAACGCGTTGTATTCTACTCCAAAAGTAAAAAAAACATGGGTACACATTTTTTTAGCGACTCTTTTTTAACATATTTTGAATTAAAAGTTTTATGATGTCTTTCTTTACCTAACGCATTATTGTATCTTCTAGCAAATATGTTTTTCTTGGAAGATGAACAGTGTATTTTTGTATTTTATACGCATTCCATTGCACCTTGATGTTTGGCTTGGTGGTTGCAGAGTTCTTTTAATTCTCATTTTAACACGATCTTCATGGCCAGTAACCTGCCATCTGATCTACACAAATAAAGTTCATTCCATTCCATACATTTCATTGTTTACGGGAATCACAGTCTACATGTGTAGGGTCCCAGCCCAGCTTGCACATGTTCGTCGCTTTTGAAGGCAAGCAATGTATGTGCCACACGCACGAACGCTGAAAATGGCATCGACCAGAAGTGCTTTTCAGGAATGGTCTATAGATCTGTAGCTAAATTACTCAAGCACTAGGGAGCATATTCATGGCACAAGAGGACAAGTGCTGGCACCTGCAACAGTAACTTTTCTAAAGAAAATCTCAAACAAATGGTTCGTTCCTTCAGGTTATACGAGCGTTTGGGGCATCTGCACCCACATTCCAAGCATTTTCCGTGGTGATTTGGCAATTTGTCAAAAAATATATTGCTTGACTTTTTGACCTTTCTTTGCCAGGGAGCTTCTAATAAAAAGATAACGGATTTACTAGCGATGTCAAGAAACTAGCGAGCCGCGGCTTGAGCGTACCGAGTTGCAATAACGGGTTTTACAAAATTCCAATTGCTCCCGTTTTCTTTTTTTTTACTTTCTTATAGTTTAGCACGTAGGCCAAGGCCATACCTTGTGCAAATATAGATTATTATCAACTTCAAATAGAAAGAACGCTCACGTTTTCTCGCTGTTAGACGCGAGAAAGGCAGGCGTGAGCATACCTGATTGTCGGCCGCGCGCCTTGCTGCCCACCCGTGACGTGACACTTTGGTGGAAGGGAAAACTGGGGAAGAACTAGAGAGAACAATGTTTCGGTTTTGGCAGTGAACAAAATATAACTTCTTTAATTAACTAGAGTGAATCTGGGAGAACAAGATAGCATTTTGGAATCAGGAAGCCATCCGCATTCAGATTATGCCTTTGGATTAGGCAGCTCGAAAAATCGGTGGAGTTCCTCTTTAATGTATGGGATGCACACAACGTCATGTGTTTGTTCGGCTTGATCCGCATGCTGATGGGACATTTGTTTGTTAATGCGGTTGATAAATCGGTCGGGGTAGTTACATTCCTTTACAGCCTCCCGCACGTGGCTAAGTTCTTGATTGCTAAGCGATGAGTTAGATGGGACTGTTTCTGAACGATGAAGTAACGATCTTGCAAGTGAGCTTTTTTGTTGAGTTGGGTGATGAGAGTGGTAGTCAAAAAAGTTTTGTGTGTCACATGGTTTACCAACTGCCAAAAATACCATTGATCACCAATTTTCTTTATTCCTTTTTAGGATACTTTTAACTAATTTCTGGCGATAACCCTTATGACCTTCACAGCTATTCTTGGTGACTAAACACCCTTTCTAAAACTTGAGGAACTCTCCACACAAGTCTCTTTGCGTGGGAGCAGAAGAGTTAAGCGGAAGTGTCAGGAGTGCCCAACGTGTAACAGGATAACAAGGATTTCAAGGGAGGAACTGTTTTTTCATGCTGTTGCAGCGATGCCAAGGAACTGCAGAGCTGGGTAGACACACTCAACTTTGTGACTGCCAGCCTGTCAGCGCCACCCCTTGCCGGTGCAGTAGGCAGCCAGAAAAGGTTCCAGCGGCCCTTGCTTCCTGTCAGCCACACCAAGCTAAACCTGGTCAGTCTTTCCGATTGTTTGTTTCTTCAAACCGACACTATAGATTAGAAGTGCAAGAGGCAGCGTAGAAATATTTCCAAGAATGAAAGTTTACCTTTTTATGACCAAGGCCCATAATAGTGATGTTTCTGTTCCTCACAGAGGGAACAGCTGACAGATCACGAGAATCGTATTGTGTGGCTGGAGAAGGAACTGGAGGAGCATGTGGCAAACGCTCCCGAGAAAGGAGCCAAGTCTCGTGCAGTGGCGGAGTTCGTCGAAAAAGAAAATTTCCTCCAGTGTGAGGTAGGGCTTCGATGAAGCTTGGTGGTGATTTTTCTGTTTTGTTGCAGGCTAATCTGCAAGATGCCTTTCAGCGGGGCTATAACCTGTTGCCTTTGTCTTTATGCGTGTCAACTAGGGCGGGTGATATATCCGTTTTGTGCGAACTGGGGGCTTGAGACAGTCTCCAAGGAACATAAAAGTGCTTTTCAAGGGGACTCTAGGGAGGGAGGGTCATTTGGCTTGCAACTTGTTTGTGGCTATTGAGAAAAGGGAAAGCTCCCCCCCCCCCCCCCCCCCCCCCCCCCCACCTGTAGGTCTGAATGTTCCCGAGAAGCATTCGGGGTATACTATGATAATTGGAGCATGAATTCAGCTTTTTCTTTGTTCAATTTATATTTTGCTTAACAAACAAGGTTCATTCATTTTCACAGACGATATTTCGCAAACCATGACTGAATCGGAGACTATTTCATTAACTTGTTGCTAAATGCTCATCAAACCGTCTCCATTGGTTTAAAACACCTTCCCACGCAGGGCCATAACCAGGGGGGGGGGGGGGGGGGTTTGGGGGTTCTGACCCCCCCCCCCCCCGAAATTTTTTTCTGTGTACGGCCCTGGTCGGTGCACTTGCAGCCAGCCGATTTTAATCTCCACCTCTGCGCACGCGCAGTGGTGCCGGTCGGCTACCGGGTACCAAACCGGGACCGGTTCTCCGGTTTGCTATAACTCTGTATTATATGCCACCGATGCACATGATTCATAGGCGAAAATAAAACAATAGACATTTTCAAAATGGCCGCCGTTGTCCCCGAAAACCCCCCCCCCCCTCCCCCGAAATTTTTTTCTGGGTACGGCCCTGTTCCCACGTGTGGGGCACCAGAAGGCAGCTGGTAGTTAGCTTTTATCTGCTTTTTTAATATTGCTTTGCCCATCCTTGCTGCAAGCAACTTTTCTTCCGTGACTGAACACTTGCTTTAGTTCTAGATGCAGCTCATTGTTTATCAACGAATCGGTGGCCACGCCGTACGTCTTTTTTTATGATATGCAATGATATTGAAAGGTCTTTCATAGCTGTCTAGCCCTGATCCCTTCAGTTTTGTGAGACTATAAAATTTACGTCACCATGGATTGTTTGAACGTCGCACCGTTCTTGTCGGAGCACTCCCATCTTCCAAGCTCATGCAACCCACACTCGTAAGCTTTACGTATGCAGCAGACTTAGACGACGTACGCCTTACTTTCTTTTCTGCAGTTGAGGAGATACCGCACTTACGCCTACCTGCTACGCTCCAAGATGGCCCAGTACCCCGAGCTGGTACCAGCCCTCGTCGAAATGAGCATCGGCGAGGTGGACGAACCCGACCAGAACCACAGCAGCGGTAACGGCGGCGGTGCTTGCGTTCTGGGCCCACCCTCCTCCCTCTCCTCCTCTCCCCCACGGACTAAGCACCATGCGGGTGTCCAGAAGGGCACGCTGCTAACGGGGATGCCGGGACCCACTTCGAGCTCCCCTCGCAGTTCCCCCACCCGAACCAAGAGGCCCACACAAGACCGCCTCAGCTACCGAACGGCGGTCCAGAAAGGAAACGACTTTATCGCATAGCTCGTCGTCGTCGTCGTCATCGTCGTTTCCCCACTGCGACAGAGCTAGAAGCCCCTTCTCGTGGCATTACCTAACGTCGTCCTTCGAGGCCGGCAACCCCTAGCGGAGGTTTGTATTGAAAGAGAGCTTCGAGGCGTTCCTTCAATCTGGAGCCGAGGCCGGGAAATCAGAATCTGACTTGCGAAGCTCGTTGTGCACGACGCGTCTGTCAAGCGCAGTTCTTGAAATGTTGAGACTTGCAACTGCGGAAGCTAGACCACGGGAAAGCGCTGAAATTCCCGCAATATTTATCTTTCTAGGTTGAGATTTAATCGAGAGTGTGAACGGACGACGGAGACGGTAATTTTCTAGGTTTCCGAGTCAGCTCGTGGCGATGCCTCGAGGTTGACCATCTGCCGTTGTGAGTGCACCCATTACGCTAGATGTATTTGTGGTGATGAGAATCGTGTGGCGACGACAAACTCCAAGCCTACGGAAGGCTGAAAAATGTTAAATTGAACAAAAGTGAAGGAATGTGCTAGAGTGGTTTTTTTGGAGGGAGGGTGCCCAAGTGGAGAGGGGGATTTTGGATGCTGTTTCATGCGAACCTCTAGCCATCGAAACTGAACTGAGAAGAATGCAGCGAGTGTGCTTTGTTTGACTAGCTTGAAGCCTTCAAGCGAAGGTGTGGAACAAAATTGTTCATAATAGAGTTTTCATGTTGCCCCACTTGAGACCTTCGGAGGAATTGAGACCTTTCTCATTTACTTTGTCTTATTTAAATAGAAATTTTTTCTTGTTTTTTTTTTTGTTGTTGTTGTTTTTTTTTTCCACTTTTTTTATGCATGCGCACACGACACAGACCTTCTTTTAATTCATTTTCAGAGATGTTTTTGAGCTTCTACTAATGTCGATATCTGTAAATAGCATTTTATACATAGAGCTGTTTATAGTGAATGCTATATTTAAGAACCATGCCAAAAAAAATAATAACAACTTGCCGGGTTTTTTCAGCGACAGTTCTCAGACCTATAATTGAGCTGAGCTCACACATGCTTTTTCTTTGGTGCCGTGGTGGCTGAAAATGCTAAATGGGGCATTGCTAGGGCTTGACTTCTCCGGTGTCGGGCGGAATGATATAAGAGGAGCAAATTGACTCTTTCTGTCTAACAACCTGTGTTTTTCAACAATTTTAAATTTTGAACTTTTATTTTTTTTTCTCTCTTTTGCCTTGAATCAGAGATAGCAGGCAATCTCATCTCGAAACAGCTCTGGAGTTGCATTTAAAACTGAATGTTGGGACCAACTTAAGTAAGCACTATATTCTGGCTGCTCCACAGACGGAGCATCGAGACATGCAGCTTTTCTCTCCAAATTCGTAACCTTACATGTTCGCTTGGTATATTTGATATTCATAAAATGCACTACCTTCGCTGGACATTTTGGTGCACAATCTCGATTCCCACAGGTCGATATGTCTTTGACTGTGACCTATTGCTGCAGTCTACAAATGTGGTAACTAACAATGATAACATCTGTACCAGTGTGCTTTGTATGGCATGGGTCACTTTTGATATCTCGCATGTTTTCCGTTTGCTCGTTTTCAACAAATTGCAACTCATCTTTAGCATTTACTGTGCCATATGTAAGTTGCAGTCTTGTTTTACTACAGCAGGATGCAATAACAGAGCAGTGTCGCACATGAAATGAGGCTTCTATCCAAACTTTTATTGATTTGGTTTAACTTCACTTAATTGTGATTGTGTTTGTAATTGTTGTATTATCATAAGTGAAACAGGCTGTGGACATTGTTGAAGTACCACTGTCACTGTCCTGCTGTGGTAAATACTGCTGAATGATTTTTAAGTGCTAGTCAAGAAAAGTATTGGATACATACAATAGTTCTTATGCAAGTATTACTTGTGTTCTATTCTCTCCAGATATCAATATTAAAGGGGTAGTGAAACGAAATTTTAGCGCCGATCTTGTTGCATAAATATGGGCTAGGGACAGGCACCACCTCGGAAATATAAATATTGCGCTGTAAAACACAGGAAAACTAATTTTAAACATAATTAAACGATTTCAAATTCTCATCTGGTGGATGGGGGGAAGTTCTCGTGACATCACTTGTGCCAAAATAGCAGCGCCGTTCTGCGGCAATACGGCGTGCCGGCAGAATTCGCCTAGGCCTGAAAGCGTTCGCAAAGCCTTGGCGGAGAAAGCCAAAGCGTAGTTGGCCACAGTGAGCTCGTTCTCGTTGCGGCTCTTTGCACGACACGGCCCGAGCATGCTTCTGGCACGGCCGGTATTAGTTGCTGCGAGTCGCGAGCTGCAAGCCGACGTTAAAAAGGATATGTTTGAACTACGAGGGTGTCAGCAAGAGCCACGCAAATGCCAAATACCTGTTCACACTGGGAGCGGACACGCGCGTTTGATCGAAGTGCTGGATTCGCTCTGTTAGACCGCGTTTCGGTAGGCGCTTCTGGACCGATCTTTTACGATTGCAACTCGATACTGACATGACACTCGGCAAAGAAAGGTTAGACCGACATCGCGTAGCTCCCACGAACTGCTATAGCTCGACACTGACGTAGCGTCGAGTCAGAATAAAAATGGCATACTAATAACAGAGTGTACATACCGAGTTGCCAAGGTAATCCGTATGGCGTTTATTTGAGCTCTATATCACACAAAACAAGGAGATAGAATCAATGAGAGTCCCTTTTCGACGACAGCGTTCGTCACCGCTGTCTCGGAAAACAAGGAGATCGAGATGACAAGGGGAAAATATTGACCTCTGAAATTTAGTTCAGGGATCAAACTACTCATCCGGTAAGGGTCCACAAGGGTCGCGCGGGCATATTCCATTCAGCAGGCCAGCCGGTCATGGACAGACGGTCTTGGCCAAGGACCGCCGGAGCAACGGTGCGCCGAGTCGATGTTGCTGCTAGGCCTACTATATTCTGCCGAGCTCGCTCGGTCGGCAGAATCGTGGCCGTTGTAGCTCTTCTCGGGTGTTTGTGGATCCTGCGTTCTTGATCGTCGTGGTCTGTTTTAAGTACTCCTTCCTTTTTTCTTGCTGGTTGAAGTCGGGACGCACGAGAAGAGCACGAAGAAAAATAAATGTCCGTTGGTGGCCGATACCAAGTAACTGAGCGACGCTGTCGGCCTTGTTGATTTGATCGTAAAAAGGGCGTAAGACAGCTTCGGAGCTGTCGTAGGATTCTGTCGTAACCTGCGCAAAGGTTACGACAATTTCGTTTCGAGAGCACGGGTTTTCTCTCAAATTTGCCTACGCACTTTTTTCGTCGTGAATTCGCTTTGAGAATCCGGCCTCAGAGCTGGTTTTGTCAGTGCTGCCGTGGTTGCCGACTTGCCGTGGTCCCGTGGTGCAGCGTGCGTGCAGCCCTTGCACATCTCAAACGGCCACGTTGTCACAGGTCGTAAATCGTCGACGCGCCACCAAGTGGCAACGCTCGTAACCACAACATTCACGCCGTAGCCTTTCCCGACCGGCACAAGTGACGTCACGAATGCGCCCAATATCCCAAGACGCATCGCGCTCTCCGATGGCCGATTTTTGAGCGCGCGCCCAATCGGGCCCATCAGGGTGAAAAATATAGCCATCCGTTCAAAATACAAACGCGCGATTATGATTTATGAATATCATTGATCATATTGAACCTATATCTGACCATAATAGGTGTATTTCAAGTTTCGCTTCAGTATCCCTTTAAAGTTAAAGATTTTACCTACCCATTATGATGGAGCAATATATATTTGGCTTGCGAGTATCTGAGTGCTATCTTTCTCTGATGGAGTCTGAATCACGAGGAACAATTGCATGGAAACTGCTTATAAAAATAGATTATTTACATTTAAGCCTTCTTTTTTTCTAACCTGTCTCGGGGAGATTTAATCTCATGTCTGTTCCATCAGAATCGTCTGTAATTACTCATTGGAAGCCTCAGTTGAATGTCACAAGCTTTTTAGTTTTGGGAGTGCACATGTGGTGCTGTTCTTAAGCTAGAAGAAACTTGCTAGCTATGTGTTAGCTTTCTGCCAAGAAGAGAATGGTACACTTACCAGTAATAGACATTTGATTCTGCTCTCTCGAGTGTTGTCACTGAAAAGGTGTTTTGGAAAAGTTGCTAGGACACTTTGGCACTGTATGTGAAGTCTTGTGCGTAGTACTACCAACACATATCCTCATTTAGTTTTCAGCATAGAGGTATAGCCATGGTCGAATGTGCTGTTCTAATACTCTGATTTATTTTCTTTTTTCACTTCTTAAAGCTTGCTTGCTTTTCAAATAGCACATTTACAGTTGTGCTTGCTGTCCCCGAGATCTGTATGTTGTACCATCTCCATTTGAAACGATACTCCAATGAGGATCGATGCAAATATGTTTTTACCAAAGTGTGTACCCACACAGGCAGTGCCCAGAGTGGCTCATAGGAACGAGAGAATCGCCATGTTCCGTGGACAACCTTGAAAAGCTGTAGTCTCAAAGTGTTCCTTGTCAGTCGAAGAATTACAGTGCTGCAAAATTTATTGTCAGAGCGAAGAAATGTCTTATTATTGAAAGGAAGCATCCAACTCACTTGTGTCGAAGGAAACTACCGTGCCAATACTATAACTACGACCTTTCTCTGCTTTTGGATGTGTTCATGGGCTTATGCGGAGCCTGGGAATCGATGAATGAGACAGTGTTTGAACACAGAGACGCGAATGGTGTTTATTGCGACGGTTTATTGCAATGACTCAAATACCACGAGTTTTTGTTTTTTCTGGGGTAGCGTTGGAAACACGCAGTTCATTTGATTTTTTTTTTTTTTTTTTTGTAACGAATGTTGCCGGAAGTCAATGAGGAAAGCGTGTTTGTACTATGGAAGCCAAAGAAGCGTCGCGAGTCGTGGGAACGGTGTGGCCATGCTCCAATAATAGTGTACGTGTGGAGAGACTACGCGCAAGGTGCGTCGGTGATTAAGTCCTACCGAGGGAGCCCCTGGCGGGTTTGGCACTCTTCAATCAGTTGTTTTCGTCTTCGTGTCGCGCTCTCCTCCACCTTCCCGATATTTCCCGCACCCCGGAAAGTGCTTCTATAGTGGGTGCCTTAGAGTGGGTAGCAAATGTTGCTTCTGCATATCTTAGCGGTTCTACTTACGTCCGTTCTCCCGTGAACTCTCCCGACAATAGCTCCCCCCGCCCTCGGCGGCGACGGTGGTAGCAGCGCCGTGCGCTCCGAGGTTTTCGTTTTTCGGCGACTGTGCGCGACTTTTGAAATTGGCGCCGCGGTTGAAGGGGATATCGCCGGACCGGACTTAGGTCGACGTGAACACTCTTGTTTGGGCGCTGACGCCGATCTGCTCTCTGAGCAGCGGCCAATGACGTGCCGAAC